ACTTGAGTACAGTACAGACAGTTGACTGTAGTAGACGAACTTGCTTGAGGCCTGGAGAGTAGACTCAAATTATTAGCCGGGCAGAGCAGCAGATATGATACGCATGTAATGGGAGGCGTTGCATGTTACCTCACAGCCAACTGACGGTGAATCAGCCTGGCGCTACTGGTGACGCCATCCTCGACGCTCCATACAACGCCGTTTCCCAGACCTCCAATTCAGCACCTTTAGGTCGATACCAGCTCTCGGGATGAGGGCGCAGGTGGTCTGCAGGTGGTGTTGCTTGAGCGCCCTCATTGTCCCGCGAGTCGTTGATGATGGTGAGCGCTGAAGGGTGGTGGATGTAGGTTCTCCTCCAGTTCGTGGGGTCGAGTCAGGGAAGGAGCACAATTGATGGCCAGTTCGCTGGTGTCAGTGAGTGAGGGGCGGCTGATTTCCGTGTCACAGCCCGGAAGTTTGTCTGTCGCAGCCTGTGTTTGTGGCTGTTAATCCTCCACAATCACTAGGGGAGGCTCCTCCCTGCAGTCCCAGGAGGAGGGGCCCCCCCAGTCCACTCATACTTCAGGCATGGGACACGTTGCCACTGACGGTGGTTCATCTACAGTATTACAGGGTGTGTCTTTATTCCAGACATCACTCTCAGGGGCCAGCCGGGTCAGTCTCAAGTAGTGTCACTGGTAACCCTGAGGTACAGAGTGTAGGAGACCCACAGACTGTGTTAGTGTCACCCGGCCACAACTTGTTGCCGGACAACTGCCTCAAGAATGAGTGGAAGCTGATGTCAACATTTACACCCTGGAGTGTCCCTGTTTAGACTTCCTCCCAGGGACAGTCACCTGGAGGCGCCTCACAGTCCCAGCAACAGCTCCAGTTCACTGGGTTCCCTTCAGGCAACCAGGACACACACGTTATACCCCAGCTGGTTCATCTGTGTCCCCAGGGTGCTTATATTCAGTCATCCACCCAGGGGCCAGCCGGGTCAGTCTCAAGTAGTGAGTTTGGGTAATCCTCAGGTACAGGTCTTAGGAGACCACAGACTGTGCTAGTGTCTCAGCCTGAGTTGTCGCCAGGAGACTGCCAGGTGATAAGGAGAGCCAGGTGCTTTTAGCGAGGGTTCGCGCAGGATCTAGTGGTCAAAATATAGAGTCAGACTTCTTGAGGGACTAATCAGGAGTCAAGTGGTGAGTCTCAGTTTGTGTCGGTGCCAGGACCTGTCTTACCGACTATAGAACGGTGCAGCCTGTGGCCTTCTCCCAGCAACAGTTCAAGCAGTTTCGACACTATTTGAGGGATCTCAACAATCGTCTCAGGGTCGTCAAGTTCTCTCCAAAGCGATGGTTCTATCGTACAGAGACCTTGCGCAGTCTTACGTGCCTTCCTGAAGAACAATCTCAGGTATTGGAGATGCTCAGTTCAGTACCGTGGCTTTACACGACACAGTTCTCTCGGGGATCATCGTCCGGCGGGTCGGTGGTTGAAGGTGACCTCGTCGAGGTCTCAACTTTCTGATCAATTATTTCCAACAATTTTCCGTCACTACGAATTCTCACAACGGATCGTCCTGGCTCTTTCAAGATGACAGGATCCTATTGTGTCAAGGGATCCTAGACGCGTCTACATTCCTCCGAGGTCTGAAATTACTCAGTTCAACAGCACGTCTCTCCCACCACAACAGTTCTCAGGGGTCTCGTCCGATTGGGTCTGGCGGTATCAGGTGACCTCGTCGGGTCACTCATTGGTCAGGAACCGCATGATAGTTTCCAGTTCAACACTAACGAGGACTCACAACAAACGTTCCAGGATTCTCCTCGTCTGGCGGGTCTGGTACAAAGGCGAAATCTAGTCGGTCAGAAACTTCGACAATATCCGACACAGCAGTTTTTCCACAGCAAAGCCTCGTCTAAGCTTCTTTTCAAAATGAAGGTTCGCATGGGGATAACGTCGTTTGGGTCACGTAGTCCGGTTCAGAATTTCCAACGTTTCAGGTACATCAGTAATGATGAAACAAAGCGAACTTCTCAGGGTTTGTCGTCCAACTTGTTCAGGACGGCGGTGCTTCTGTTGTGCCTGGAACACTTGATGGGTCGCTGCAGGAACCACCGAGATTTGAAGACTTTGCCCATCTAACAATCCTCAGCAGTTTTCTCAGGGATCTTCACCTGGGTCGTTCCACAGCGGCGGGTCTGGGGTCTTTATCCAAGGGGCCACAGTTGGTGGGTGAGGTTCAGGTGGACCAGATAGGGTTTGGGTCGCTCCTTCCTTCTCAGATTGCACCCAGCCTGGATATTGAGTCACCTTCTCTTCGGCCGCGAGCCAGGACGCCCAATCCCTCTGGCCTCAGCCTCGCCACAGGTGAGACTGCAGACATGGGCTCCCTCACACTAACCAGATTCCTCCCTAATTTCCCTCTTCCTCTCCCTCATTCCCTCCTTTCCTGGAAACTCTGACACCATCAATGCACGCTCAAGTAAGTGTGACCTCGACTTGACTCTTGGTATGTATGCCCAGCTGGGGACACAGTACACCTATGGGTCCTTATCACTACAAAACTTACAGTTGTTGTTTGACCAGATGACAAGTGGACGGCGTTCATGTTACTACCCAACTGTTCACCATAAGCACCAACACCGCCCTGCTATAAGTGTCATGCACCTTCTTATATCACTCCAGTATATTGATCAGTCTCTTATATCACTCCAGTATATTGATCAGTCTCTTATATCACTCCAGTATATTGGTCAGTCTCTTATATCACTCCAGTATATTGATCAGCTTCTTGGGTTACACTATCGTACCCACTTTTGTACTACTTTCTCCCTCTATGTAATGAAACCTAAAACGGGAGAAGGAGGAGTATGCTGACTAACGTGGTGGTGTGGTGTCTCCCCTACAGCACTGTAGACCAGTTCATTGTTCCCCGCCCAGCACCACAACCCAACCCTCTGTGAGTACTGTACTGTAACATACTCTCCCCATTGCCCAACTTAAAATAATTATGTTTTGTTTACAGCTTCAAATAAACACATTTTCTTCTGCTTAGAATAATTATATTTTCTTCCCAACAGAAAAAATACGTTTTCTTCCCAACTTAGAATAATTATGTTTCTTGCCAACGAAAAAACGTTTTCTTTCCAACTTAGAATAAACACGTTTCTCTAACTTATAAAAATTTCTTCATGGCAAATAGATGTTTTCTTCCCTAACTTAGAATAAATGTGACTGAGGGGCTCTTTATCTCCTCAGAACCTTCAATGTGGACGACGAGCCAAGTACTGGGACCAACAGGTTAGCCTCACTCCTCACTCCTAGGTAAGTTTCTCCCTCCATCCCTCACCACCTCCTCCCATCGGCCTTTCTCCCTTCCTCCCGTGCCTCAACCTTCACTGTCGCCTTCTTGTTATTTTTTGTTTCCGTTTTATTAATAGCAAAAACAATAACAAAGGTTGAGTATTATTATTATTATCATCATCAGGTACATCAGTCACACTTCACTAGAGAGAGACCATAACTGTGAGGCGTCACACGTCAAAGTGTCACTCGGTAATAACCCAAGTTTCACATAAGATCTCTACTCACGTTACCTGGTCAAAGTAATTAGTTACCTTAGTTACTACATATATGACCTTATTACCTGTCTTTAGGTGATTACTGGCCTTCGTGGTATGTATGATTATGTAAGTTTCTTTTTGTATTCTCATGTTTTAGGTATGTATACGGTGTAAACTCACATTGATAGATTTATAGACATTTTTTATTAGAGGAGAGTAACTATACCTCACTGACAGCCTCCTCAGGTGGGTGTGTATTGAGCAGGAGGAGGAGTCAGTGGCTACACGGACACTGTTCTGAGACAAGACCCAAACAGGCTGGCTGACTTGTAGTGCCGGTCGTTACTTAGACTTGGAGCCGCACAAATAAGTTTACAGATCTGTGTGTGACCGACACTTGCCCATTTGACAAGTTAATATTTTGAGGAGGAATAAACTTGACGGGAATTTGTCAGGTGCTGTGACCCTTACTCCTGTACAGTACATGTTTAACTCTGCCTCACTGTACAGTACATGTTTAACTCTGCCTCACTGTACAGGCATGTTTAACTCAGGAGGTCCATCAACATGATAAGTGTTAACACCACTGACTACTGGACTATGGGGAGGAGAGTGTAGAGGAAGCGAGGGTGACAGAGTGTTGACCGCGACAATAGTTACCGCCACTGACACATTTACATGGACACAGTGATCTGTGTGTTGATAAACAATAATTTGAATATTTTAAAATGTTTATTTAACTTTTTCATAAAATAAATCGGGCTTAAATTTCCTCAAAAATTGTCAGGACAGTAAATGTTGTCCATAATCTGCACAGCCTGAGTTGGGTCTACCCGAGCACTCCAACACTCCATTAGCCAGACCAAGTAGCTGTTGACTCACCAACAAACAGGCATGCTGGTTGTTTGACACTGTACATAGACAAAATGGATTTAATATTATTATTAACCTTGTGGCTGCAGGAAAATCGTCTGACGGCGGCCAGTAGTGTAAGGAGTCTCGTCAACAGGGTAAACATATGACCATTGGTCGACATATGATGTGTTGTTGACGATTATTTCCTGGTGTTGCATTGTTGCTCCGTCAGTTGTGTAGTGGAGGTGTTGTGTTGCAGCTCCGGAAAATCCAGTTGTGTCAATAGTGGAGGTGTTGTGTTGTAGTCTGTCATTGTGTAGTGGAGGTGTAGTGTTGTTGCTCCGTCAGTTGTGTAGTGAGGTGTAGCTTGTATTCTGTCAGTTGTGTAGTGGAGGTGTTGTGTTGTAGCTCCGTCAGTTGTGTAGTGGAGGTGTTGGTTGTAGTCTGTCAGGTAGTGTGGAGGTGTAGTGTTGTAGCTCCGTCAGTTGTTTAGTGGAGGTGTTGTGTTGTAGCTCCGTCAGTTGTTTAGTGGAGGTGTTGTGTTGTAGCTCCGTCAGTTGTGTAGTGGAGGTGTAGTGTTGTAGCTCCGTCAGTTGTTTAGTGGAGGTGTTGTGTTGTAGCTCCGTCAGTTGTGTAGTGGAGGTGTAGTGTTGCAGCTCCGTCAGTTGTATGAGGAGCACCTGAGGTCCTACACAGGCCATCACTCGACTTATCATACTGGTGTTTATGGTCACAGTACAGACACCCGGCTCTCCGCCTTCGTGTACACACACACACACTTCCTGCTGCCGTGGCGTCTTCAATAACTGGCTAACTTACTGACTCATCCTGATCTCAAGAGTTAAGAGGTTTGAGGCCATAACAACCTTGGTCATTACCAGGAGGACAAATAGCCTGGTTTCATCTTTGCAAGAGCACAACTAAGCCTCCCTCAAGCAGTGTCCCCTGCAGCAGCTCTATACACCAGGGCGCCTATACTGTACTGTACTACTTCAGGAGCTTCTCGTGAAGGAGTACTTCCCCAGAGGTTCCTTCCTTGACTACCTCTTCCGCGGCGTACAACAGGTCACCACAACGTCCTTAGTTGAGGAGTTATGGCGTCCTTGTCTAGTTGAGATAACTTCTGGGACTCAACCTCACAATCCCATGATAGAGGCACGTCCTTCTGCACGTACTCTTCCTTTCCACTCGCCTCGTCACCGCAGCTCTATGGGAACTCTTCTCTTGAGTGTTTCTCACCATCGTTCTCAGTCAATCATGTGGGCACTTTTCTCTGTTTGTTCCCACCTTTACTCTCCCTCTCCAGCACTAGTCCTCTCCACATGTGATATCTCTTGTTGGTGGCTCTCAAAAGTTGTTCCACACTGCAAGCGAGGACAACTACCCTCTCTTGAGTTGATACAGAAGTTATTGTGATCTGTTTACTTAGTGACGATGAATAAAGAGGAGTCATCGCTTGGTTATCATCTTGCTCACTTTACAGTCATTTAGATCATAATTCCCAGATGCCGCCTCTTCCTTATCTTAACCAAGTGTACCTGGGGAACTGTGGGCCTTGAGTACCTAATTGGTGTTCCAGCACGGTATGATACCTTACGCTTTTCTCTTGCTTCTGACTATGATGTCTCCCGTCAGCTCTACTAGACTGCACGCTGTCTGCCACTAACTATAAAAGGTTAAATAAGTAGTCACTTCTAACTTGGTGAAGTAGTTGTAGCGCTGTAACCCCTGCAGGTATAGTCGTAGTGCACTTACAGACACATGCATGCTAACGAAATACCATCACATCGGCTGCTGATGCCGTCTCATCGTCTTTCCAGCTCTCTACGTGACGCTTCAAACCCTCGTAATATCATTCAAGCTTCTGCCAATACTGCTTCCAGCTTGGATAGCTCCCAGGCCTTTAACTCAGTAGCCAGCCAGTCCTCTGTTAGTCGGTCGAAAAGTATTACCAGCAGCCAGTTTGGGTCGTCGCGTCGTAACCCGCCATCAGAGAACTCTCCTCTACATAACTTCCGCCCCTTCGCTAATGATGAGTCGGGCTTCGAGTATTCTGCTCCTGGACAAAGGGTTCAGATTTCTTTCGGTCCTCGCTCACGGAAGAACAGACTCAGATCCTTCAGCTTTGCCAAAGGCAACTCTGACAACAGTGCCACTGACAACAGTGCCACTGACAAGCCCCGGCCAGCACGAGGGACAGGCAGGGCCTTGCTGGGAGGTGGTCTTGGTAACTCCCTCGACCCTAAAAGTAGGTCTCGGGCGCCATTGCTCAACACCAAGTCTACGACATCAGATGAAACACCTTCAAGGTTCAGTATCACGAATCCTGTAAAGTCTACTACCGAGGAGGCCGCCATAACCACTGCCACGCCACCGACTACCACTACCACACCACCCACTACCACCACGACCACAACCACCACTATCACCATCACCACTACTCCATCGATTGAGACCTCTACAACAATCTTTGACTCAGGCACCACAGACACCACCACCACCACCAGCTCTCGAGATCTACCACGCAGACGTTTCCGGCCTATTCCACGTCGACGAATTATTTCGTCTTCGTCTTCTTCCTCCAAAGACGGCCGCCGGCACTCTGGGCTCTTTTCTGTCAGGCACCGTGGCACTCCCAGGCACCGCCCCAGCGTCTCCGTAATACTTGACCAAGACAAAAATAACGAGAATGATTTTATAAAAGAAAAAGATGATGAAAAACACGAGTTGAGAGGTGAGGGGTTAAAGGAGGAGGTCGTCCCTCTCATCCAGGAAGAGAAGGTAGAGAAGGGGCAGACCCCGCTGGAGGCCCACAAGTAAGTATGACTCGTCCAGTGACGCTCTGACTGCTGCAGGTATGACATCTTTGGGTAACTCACGACTCTTAGACGAAAACATAGTCAACTAAAAATGGATATTGACCTAAACATTGACCAAATACTGAAGGATAAATAATAACAATAAACAATATTAAAGAAATAACTATTTTGTCAGTAGGATGTAAGTTAATTTGTTTAAGCCATTGTAGTCAGAGAAAATATAATTTTGTTTTACTTTCAGTAACACAGTCGGCAGTGTGGATGGTAGAGGTTCGGGCAAGTCCATCTCCGACGGCCAGCCTCAGAGGAACAACTTGGGCTTTGTGTTCCCCCAAAGACGTGACTCAATCCTGCCCTTCGGCACTCGCCTTGCTCACAGAAGACCCAATTCCCCCCTTACTAACTCCTTCACTGGTAATTAACTCCCTGCTTACTGCCACAGTGCTCACATGACCTGTTGTGACCTGACTGCTTGCTTGTGTGACCCTCAGACACCATTATTGACCTGCACCATTGACCTGATTGTCTAATTTATAAGGTAATAACCACGCTTACTCACCCTGCCGACCTTGTTACAGGTCCCCTCCCACTAACCTCTGGCCCTAACCTCCCCCCGACGCTGTCCCTGATGACCCTCACTAACTCCCAGGACCTGACCACCTCTCCCACGACCCTCGCTGAGACTCCTTCACCAGTCGTCGTCTTCAGCACCCAGACTCCGGCGTTTAACACGCCCCCACCTCAGGCATCATTCAAAGCACCAAATACTCTGAACTTTTTCAACGCGCCCACAACTACGCCCCCACCCGTCGTGTTCTTCAGCACACAACCTCCAGTATTCAATGTACCTTCAGCTGGGAACACTTTCAGAGCGCCCTCACCTCAGGTTCCTTCACAAGAATCCACGTCGTTCAACCCCTCCCCACCTCTGTCTCCCTTTAACATGATCCCCGTTATACTTCCTGTCAATATGGTCCCCGTCGTAGCTCCCCTCAACCTGCCCTTTGTGGTGGCTCCCGTCAACCCTCAGCCCACAATAGATCCCAACAACCCCCCCACCCCACCCAGCGAGTCTCTCAAGCCTCCTCTTAACTTCCCCTCCCACCAGTCCACAGTAGCACCCCGCCTTCAACGACTCTTCCCCAGTCGTCAGCTGGCCAACAGCTTCACCCTCCAACAGAACAGTCAATCGTCGTCATCACAGTCGTGGCGGGGACAGTCAAGTAGCACCAGCACGTCCCAACTCCCTGGTGGTGTGGGGACCCTGCAGCAGCTACGTCAGGCACAAAGTAGCAACACAAAAGAAAAGTCTACCTCCTCCTCCTCTTCGTTCTCAACTAACAGCCTCGCCCAGCCGCTGGATAATGAAACTCCCGCCACATTGACGGGTCAGGAGGTCATGACTCAGCCCTCTCTGACCCCCTTCAATCCCCCGGCTTTAAGAAACTCCTTCGTGGGGATAACCTCAAGAAAACCTTCCTCTACCAAGTCCCCCTTGACGACCCCGGGGCCCTCTAGGGACAGAGGGAGGCAGTTATTGTCTCCAAGGCGTCGTCCGACACTTCGTCGCCCCTTGACGCCCATCACGCGACCCAGATCACAGGTTGTGCAGACGCCCGTGTCCGACGAGTACATCAAGGCCTTCCCTGAAGTTGCGGCGCCTGAGGGCTTCCCCGGCGAGGACCCCGAGGAAGACACCATAAAGGAAGCCATCTTCGAGCTCCAGCGGCTCAACTAACATGAGCCACACAGGGATCCTCTCTCACTCTGTACATAGCCCCTATTTATCCCCTTCACTATACTATAAGTTTGTTAAGTGGTGTGTTTACAAAGACTGCCAGTCCCGTGACTCACAACAAGTTTAGTCTTGTGGGAATCCTTCGCTCAACAACACAACCTCTATTTATTATTTTAGAACTCATGTATTTATAGTCCTTGTTGGTTATATCATACATAATGAAACCTAAATCAAAATATTTCAGTACTGTTCAGACACCATTTTGTTGGCGACACTGAGGCTGTCGAGAGACTGATAGTAATTCTTGTTCTAAGTCAGAATCATAGTAGATTTATTACTGTATGAGCCGCTGTTTGAACGATAAGTTTTGTGATAGTCTCAACCTTGTGTGTCCCCAACCTTAAATTACCATAATGCATTTGGCTGCCTCTACTCTGCAACATGGTGGAGGAGGCAGGCAGGCACACCTCACCTTTGTCTCATGAACTAGATGTTAACAGTTGTACTGCAGGCCAGTCCAACTTTACAGTTGTCTGTGTAAGACATTTTTTGTAAATAAAGTACAAAATATATTTTGTTTTGTTGTTTAATATAAAACCTAATCTATGTCACCTAGAGAAACACACACACACACACACACACACACACACACACACACACACAACTCCTTTCACCATCGTTATGTTACTCAACAAGATCTGAGTGACGCAGCCAACACCAGGGAGAGAGATAAAACTGGACCAGAACTAAAGTTACACCCAGTACAAGCCACAGCTCATCCTGCACCATATCGCCTCTATGTTGTTACGTTATGTTGCTATGTTATTAATGAGCTTCAACAACGAAAGTCTTTAAGCGCGTAGCAGGGTCAGTAATACACTTGTCCAACAACGATAAAAAATTGAAGAGGGATAGAACTGTGCTTTTCGCCACTATGCCGGACAGACTGCAGGCGGTGATTGAGAAGAGGGCGAGTGGACACACTACTAATATGGTAAGGAATATAATATATATCATACCTTGCAAAACAACAATAGATTCTATCCCGTCAGATATAGACAGACAGAGAGACAGACAGACAGATACAGGTAGAAAGACAGACCAATACAGATAGACATAGAATAGCGTTTAAGTCCAACGGAGAGAAGAAACTGAATTAATATAGACTGAATGCGAAAAGGACTTGGGTGTGTATGTTGACAATGAACTAAAGTTCTCGGGCCATTGTGAGAAGGCGAATCAACAACTAAACTATTAGGTCTTATAAGAAGGACGTTCAGATATTTACACGGACCGTCCATCGCAACGATCTTCAAAGAGTGAGGTGCTTCCCCGCCTGGAGTACTGTCACCCCGTCTGGTCCCCGAGATATGCTAGGGACTGTCAATTGACTGAAAATGTTCAAAGGAGGGCCACCAGACTGGTGCCTGCACTTCAGCACCTCAGCTACCCAGAGAGATTAGAGTGCCTGCAACTGCCTAGCTTATACCACAGACGGGCAAGGGGTGACCTAAATGAGGTGTAAAACATCTCAGAGGGCACTACTCAGTCGAGTGTCCATACGAGGAGCTGGCGGACGCTCGCCCCACAAGGGGTCACAGCTCAAGGTTGAAGAAGCCACAAGTCCAGAAAACTGTGAGGGCAAAGTTTTCGGAGTGAGAATTGTGAACTCGTGGAACAATCTGCTAGAGAGTGTTGTGGCGGAACCGAGAGTGAGCTGTTTCAAAACCAGACTTGGCCAACACTGGAGCAGGTTCAGATACATTCAGGAGCCAGTGCATGCCCAGTACTTGCTAACAGAGACGTGGCCGACAGCCCAAGCGGCTAACGAGCCAATCAGTGGCGAAGAGGATAAAAGTAAATGTAAAAAGTAATCTAAACGACATGACGCAATATTATATATGGCAGACAGACAGGTAGACAAACTGACAGAGGATTTTATATAAAAATTATGTGACAGACCGACAGAGGCTATGATACACGACCCATGTTGACGGCAAGGACACTGAAGACGGCAACTACAGTACGCAGATGCAACAAGGATTTCTGGTATTGGCGAAACTGTGGTCAACCGTGTTTTGTCTTTATCATCTAACTCCCAGCCAAACTTGAATAGATCTGGAGAGACAGGTTGTGGTTGAGCAGCCTTGACACAAATATATGATTATAAGATAGTGTAGTTCGCTTTACATGGTGGACAAATGCGTCTCCAGTGGGTAGTAGGCTCTTGAGTTTGTTCAGGTCTCCGTTTTGGAATTTTTTCGGAGAATCGGGCAACAAATGAAAAGGTTTACATTAATAGTGTTTAGATGAATTGTGTAGCGAATAAAAATTACGAATTAAAATTATAGTCATACTCAACACGTTTACGCCATCGCTTTACTGAATATATAAACAAATAATTTCCATATTCACCGCCTAAATGGACGGACAACCTCTGGTGGTAGAGGATTCCTCATAAATTACCCATATTTGTCAATCTGAATGTAAAACATAAATAAAGAGGAAATATCAGCATTCATAGGCAGATTACGTATTTAACATCTTAATCTGGCCACCATTCCGAGGTTGTTTCATGCCATTCCGCCTCAACCCACCACTGTCCCATGTGTAAAGGCATTCAAGTAACGTTTATAAACAAAATCCCCACAACCGCTAATAGTCTCGTGGCGTCTGTAATCTCAACATTTTACCAAAACAAAAGGAATGATTATACACACCAGGGCCAATATGGTTCGCTAACAGTAGAAAACATGATAACCCCAAGTCTCCGACAACTACCATGCATCTATTGTATTAACTGTCAACAAATAATTAACCAACCCAAACTCGGGTCTTGGAAAACGTGCCTTCGGGTACATTGAATTCAGTAATCACGTCGACTAGCTAGCTGTGGCCTCCGCCAGTCGGTATCCTGATGTTGTTTACAAAAATAACCCAGTACATCACACAAGAACATTTCTCAGTATCATATAAACGTTACTGGACCTCTTACCTTGTATTTCTTGACGCTGGCTGTGTAAACTTAGCCTCCATCGGACCTGCAGGACAAAATTGTAGGAATGTCACTGTCAACTTGCACCTGGCTTTAAATGGCTGACGACTCGCGAGGTATCATAAGGTTCGAAACTCCGAAATCCGAGTGTCACGAATCCCGGTTCGAACTTCTCAACAAAACATAGCGTTATCAAAGTCCAATAAAATTTTCAGAGCAGAGCCTGTTTTCAAAAATCACAAGTTGGAATTAGTATAATGGCTATATTTTCATTGCTGAGTATGAATATGATAAGCATTTCTTTGGCAAATGCTTCGGTTGGTTGATAATTAGGCCCCTAAGGACGGACTACTTCGTCAGAGTTCGTCTTTCTGTGTAGTGAAACGACTGAGCGGCCACGTGTGACTTGGTCTAAGCCTAGTCTCACGTGCACAAAAAAAGTTCAAATTACACCATGCCGCTTCTAGAAGGTTGTTTTCATTTGTATGAGATTGCTTTTCTGATCCAAATTTGCGGAAAAAATGTAATAAATTCGACTAAATTGCATAAATATATAATATAATATACGGTATATGAAATATGCAATATACCTAAAGAAATATTCGAAATATATTATGAAAACGATCAAATTCCTGAGGATTTCTTCTAACAATGGAAAGTTAAGATAGCATTGTAAGTAAAGTATAGATACTTAAGAGTGTAAAATTTAGAAATTACAGTAGAAATTAGTCAGACAAAAATCTAAAGGCATTAATCAAAATATATTATCTTATCACTTAGAATCACGCCTTCACAGTTGACAAGGTGACTGGGCGGAATCAAGTGACGCATCCAAAGCTGCCTTAGCCAATAAACACATTGAACTAGTCATTAACGAGTGATTAATTTTCACCTTTTATTTAGTATCAGTGGTTCCAAATACAATAGAGCAAAAAAATATACACTATTTTTTATGCCAATACAGTATTTCATATAGTAAGAAAACTTCCGACTTTATATTGTAGTGGATTCCTCCCCTACAACCGCCGTGTCGCTGACCAGCCGACGCTCTTCGAATTCCCCAGCGTACGCCTCGTGGTCAAGGTCGGCAACCAGCGCCGCCTAACATAGCGGAGGTCAACTATCAACCCACGCCTACCCCAGCTATATAAGACCTCACCCCGCCGTGACCTACCTCTTTCTTTCTACAGCCACCAGCAAGCAACACCTCTTCCTCCGCTCCTGCCTGGTGGCCCTCGCTCCCGCCGGCGACCATGGCGACCCTACAAGCTGCCTGTCCTCCTCTGAGCACCCTCACCAACCAGCTCTCACTACATCACGCTTGGACTCACGCTGCCACCCCCCAGCTGCATTGTACATCCAATACAATATGTATACAGAGAGCACATTGTGAGTTTCCTTTCTCCATCCCATCCTGAGTGTGAACCAATATCTCATAACGTCACAAATGGTGACCCCCAGAGATTCGCACTCACACAGGATGGAGGAGAAACATCCCATAACCCCACAAATAGAAGGCTGGGTGTTCGAGTCACTCCGGGGGCACCATTTGTGGGGTTATGAGATATTGGTTACACTCAGGATGGGATGGAGAAAGGAAACTCACAGTGTACTCTCTGCATACATATTGTATTGGATGTACAATGCAGCTTGGTGCTAGGGGGTGGCAGCGTGAGTGTAGGGAGAGCTGGTTGGTGAGGGTGCTCAGAGGAGGACAGGCAGCTTGTAGGGTCGCCATGGTCGCCGGCGGGAGCGAGGGCCACCAGGCAGGAGCGGAGGAGGAGGTGTTGCTTGCTGGTGGCTGTAGGTAGAAAGAAAGAGGTCACGGCGGGGTGAGGTCTTATATAGCCGGGGTAGGCGTGGGTTGATAGTTGACCTCCGCTATGTTAGGCAGCGCTGGTTGCCGACCTAAGCCACGAGGCGTACGCTGGGGAATTCGAAGAGGGTCAACTGGTCAGCGACACGGCGGTTGTAGGGGAGGAATCCACTACAATACTCCCCCTTCCCTCCAGGCGGTGTAGGAGACTTGCTGTCTGCAGGGTTGCATCCCACATGTGAGACATAACGGCGTGGGCATGGATGAGCCGGCCGCTATGAGAGACACTTTGTCTAGATACATGAGATCTGTGGGAGAAGAGAGGAAGAAGGAGGGTTGTGGAGGCGAGGAATGTGGTGCTTCTCTCGCGGCAGGTACAGAGTCCTCAGTAGCGCCTGGTGGGGTGTGTGGGTCCGCGTCAGGAAGAGGGTCCATGACAGCAGCAGGGTGCATGACAGCAGCAGGGTGCAAGACAACAGCAGGGTCCACAACAGCAGCAGGGTCCATGACAGCAGCAGGGTGCATGACAGCAGCAGGGTGCAACACAACAGCAAGGTCCACGACAGCAGCAGGGTCCACGACAGCAGCAGGGTGCAGGACAGTAGCAGGGGGTACCTAAGGGAGGAAAGAGGGGTGTGTGGGTCTGCGTCAGGAGCTGGGGCCACGTCAGGAGCAGGGGCCGCGTCAGGAGCAGGGGCCACAACAGCAGCAGGGGGTACTGCTGGGCCGGGAGCAGCGTCTGAGGCAGGACGGGTGTGTTGGGGTCGGTAGGAAGTGGTGCTTGGGGCAGGAAGAGGAGCGGCTGTCTGCTTAGAGTAGCAGAGCTGCTCTAGGGTGTCTAACCTGCGGTGTAGAGACGGTAGCTGTAAAGCCGATGAGAGCTGCCACTGTGTGGATAAGCCAGTCTTCCATGTTGCTTGAAAACTGGGAGAGTGATCAGTTTCTCCTCCATCCTGTGTGAGTGCGAATCTCCGGGGGCACCATTTGTTGGGTTATGAGATATTGGTTCACACTCAGGATGGGATGGAGAAAGGAAACTCACAATGTGCTCTCTGTATACATATTGTATTGGATGTACAATGCAGCTTGGTGCTGGGGGGTGGCAGCGTGAGTCCAAGCGTGGTGTAGGGAGAGCTGGTTGGTGAGGGTGCTCAGAGGAGGACAGGCAGCTTGTAGGGTCGCCATGGTCGCCGGCGGGAGCGAGGGCCACCAGGCAGGAGCGGAGGAAGAGGTGTTGCTTGCTGGTGGCTGTAGGAAGAAAGAGGTAGGTCACGGCGGTGTGAGGTCTTATATAGCTGGGGTAGACGTGGGTTGATAGTTGACCTCCGTTATGTTAGGCGGTGCTGGTTGCCAACCTTGACCACGAGGCATACGCTGGGGAATTTGTAGAGGGTCGGCTACTCAGCAACAAACGGCGTTTGTAGGGGAGGAATCCACTACAATATCACTCTTATGTGCCATATACAAAAAAAAATTAGCAAGCTAAACCTTTTTTCAAAATGTTGAAGGACTCTGTACAGTAGTACTAACCATTGCTCGAGTGGTTTGTTTATCAATGTTATCTACAGATTACAATGAACTGTACAAACAACCTCAGCTACAATGAGTCCAACAAGAACAGTTAGCAATGCCACTCAATGGATGAAGAGGAAGACCTAAGAGGCAAAACTAAATGAACTACAGGACCCTTCTGCAAAAGTACACTTGATACAGGTAAATGCAGAGCTGATACAGGTATATGCAGAGCTCTGAGAAAAATTTGCACAATCAGCTGAGAAAATTAATGCTATAGCAAAATCAATGACATGCCTGAGTGTCAAATAATTGTCTCAGAATTGCAGTAAAGAAACACCCTGACCAATGAATGGATTAGGGACCAAGTCGCCAAAGGACTAGTTTGTAAGGCAGTTTTTCAGAATCTGAAAGCATATCCCACAGGGACAATGTAATTTTGGAGTTAAGGTTCCAAAACAACTCAAAAAATCCCAATTTAGCTACAATTTCACCTACAGTACAGTTGTGGAGCTGTGTTTCTGCCCCCCTGTGGTAACCCGTGTCTCCAAATGGCAACGTTGCAGTAGTAGCATCATTATTTATGAGTGAATGGGTATTGGTCATGTAACGGTTGATGTGATTGGTGGATAGGTTTGCTATAAATCATATAGGTTGGCTGTTTGGAAACACAGGGTACCACAAGGTGTGGAGGAACACATTTCTGCAACTGTACCATAATATGAAGACTTTAGATTTTTAAGGGTGTAGGTGAACTAAAATAATTTTTAGTACTGTACCTGTATTTTCTCTAAAAGCTCATCAAGTGCCGTAATTACAATCATCCTGTGATCATTAGCTAATATAAACAAAATTGATCACTCACTCGACTGTGCACTTACCTGTCTGAGTAGCATCCAAATAAAGTATTGTATACAGTATTTATGTTTTGTTTTATATTAGTAAGTGCAAAAAGTTACTGGTAATTCTCATATAGTTACTGTAATGGTATTCACAATTTTTGTTTCTTTTCTGCTTCATTGGTGTTATTTTCATTATAATAAGAGTAAATTTATTTTGTAAATCTGAGGGAACATTCAAGTCTGTGTCAGAGATCAAGGTTACAGGAAGGTCAAGGGTTAAAATGTCCAAAGTTTGATAAATATATTAAACTATTACTTTAGATATTTTGACAAAAATTTATTGGAATGTGCAATGTCACTACCACAGACAAAATGCGAAACACCAAATGCTTACTGTATGAGTATGTCTACGTGAGTTTTTCCAGATAATAACTCCTTGTATTAACACAGATATTTTCATGAAACTTTAGTCAAGTAACAATTCATCATCACTACAGTAGTTGAAGTGCAAAAATATAAAATTAAAGTCAGTGTGACTCCTCACTTCAAGGTAACCTTGTATAGAGAACTCTTGATTTGACAGAGATTATTTGATGAAATTTCACATGAATGTTTATCATCACTACACAATTTCTCAAGACACCATATTTCAAAGGTTATTGTCACAGTTGAAAGTCAAATATCAAAGCCTTGTCCAAAGGAGCTATTAACTTTTGAATCTACTTACCTAAGTACAGTGTACACTGTACACTGTACAGTAACAATTGAATTACTTGTAGGTATTACAGTATTTTATCACACGACAAAGTATAAAACACTATTGTTGTAGGTGTTGAGTCAGACTTGTGCCTCAGATGAATGATATAGCTGTTCAGTGGGGGGTCTCGGTGTTAATAAACTCATTTCTATTTTTATCTTGTATAAACATAGTGAAACCTCCATCTAACGGACATCAATCTAACTGTTTTTGTTCTTTAGATGGAGCTTTCACATATAATGGACAACTATCTAACGGACTTTCCCCTCCATATATTTCGTTAAATAGAGGTTTTACTGTACTGTATAGTGTTTTATATATCCAGGGTTAAATATATTATATGGTCTTGCATACTATTCTTCCCTGGTATAAGTACGGTACAATATTATAGTACGTGGTTCAGTAAGTAGGACAATAAAAGTGTGTTGTATGAATGCAGCTCTTGTATTTGGTGGCTGTGCCTCAAGACAGTCATGTTGACCAAACTTTTTCACAACCTCAGCTTTAAAGGCTCAAATCTTGACAGTTTAAGTTTCAAATCAAGTATTTACCCATATATTTATATAGAAAGCACCTCCATGAAAGAGAGCTCATGTAGATGCTATACAAAATAATGTGCATTTGTACCTAGAGCAGCACATCAGCACTCAAGAGTTATTTTATGTGTGTGAATTAACCGTTAGGAATTGCATAAGAAGTAAGAATACAGTCCAATTAGATTTCCTGTATAAAAAAATAGTGTACAATTCTGCATCAGCAGCTCTCCACTTAATAATGCCCTAAACCATACATTTCAAAATTTTGTTGTGTTTATGAACAAAGATTTGTCTTACTGCCCAGAGCTAGAGCCCTCCTCAAAAGTTCCACATATATTCCAAAGTGCTAGCCATTCTCCAGTCAACTTTCAAAGGAACAAGAATGTCTGATGCACTCGGCTGCAGGTTGTGACATCAATATGACTTTAAAACCTTGGGAACATTCTAGGTTCTTATTTTTCAAGTGTATTTGTGTGCATGTATCATGTGTAAGTGTGTATGCATGCTCATGTGCATGCACATATGTATTGATGTGCATATCAATGACTTTTCATTGGTCCATTAACTTAAATACTACTTAGGGGAAATATCTGGTATGTTGCCGGTCTCTACACATTGACAACAAATAACAAACAATTGGGAAAACAATACAACTGAGTGGCATCCAATTCAACAGGCATAATCTCTTAGTGTAACCGGTGATATATTGAAAGGCTCAAACGTGGTGATGAGCCAAAAACCATTGAAACTGACTCTTTTATTGCTCTCTACACTTTTCACACTTCGATAACGATCATCTGACGTCAGTTGATAGAGAGAAGGCAAACTGAATTAGCTCAATAATCCATCAATTTATACACAAATACAGCTCAAAAATGAAAACTGGCCAACCAACTTTATACTTTCTAATGAATACAATTTGCTCTCTCTCTCTTGCTGACAATGAGAAGAAACTCACTGATGAACATGTAAGTGGAACTTGGGATACGATGATTTCAGGGCAACCATATACTGTGTAAATGTTTTCAAGGTTTAGACCTGACCTCTTACAGTGTAGACACATATAATGAATGAAATGTCAAGATTAGTGGGTTGGGATCTGTGGTATGTTAAGAACACTAAATACTCCATTATAGAACAGCTGGTCATATGTATAAGAAGGAAGATGTATGAACACCTATTATACACAGCTGACTTCACATAATGACTGAGGTTTAACTTTACAAAAAATGACATATAAAAAACAGACCTTCTATCCATTAAGAGCAGTTAAGGTTCCTATGAAAAATGAATGGAAGTCTAGTAGTCATAATCCGACTCCAACACATCAAAAGAACTCTGCAATTTCACTACACTAGCCAAGTGACCACAAAACATGATTCATACACAATTCTTTCTGGAAAACACTTCACATCCTAAGCCATCCAAAATGTTACTGAGAAACATCTGAGGAAAGAAGCTCGGCCTAAAGCAAACTTTACGTTTTGTAATCGAGGATCAAAGTGCAAAATTTTCAACTGCTTCTTTGATGATGAAACACACAAGTTAATTAATTTATACTGTATCCAATATTACAGGGCAAGCGTATTGGGAATGAGCCCATTATATTCTTCATGTTTTGGGGGTTTATTTTCAATCCTGACATAGAATGCAAAGTTAGTTACTCCACATGTTATGAAAATAGTACATATAAAGTTGCTGCAACAATACTGAACATGGTTTACAATCAACTCTGTTTCATGGTATTTTTCAGTTATGGTACCTTCAAAATATTATTAATTTTGTATATGTACTGACAAAAATGACTTCTAAGATACCAACAAATTACTTTTGCCTGTAACAAGTGAGACGCAAACCTTCAACCACAAGTGAGACGTGGAGGTGTTACCATGGGACCAGTCAATGCTTTAAAGAACTACTGTAGCCTGTTTAACCAAATATTAAATACAGTACATTTCCCATTCATCCTATGAGGCATAATGAGTCTTAAATGGGACCAGCCCTGGCACTCTGCAATGCAGAATTAACTTTCTAACAAGACAACTGGTGAACACAGAGCATATATATTTATGGAATTTGCTCAATACACTAAACAACAATACCTGTACAAGTATATTGAGCCTCCAGCCAGTGAGACTCGAGTGCCACTGTAGACTAAGTATGTTATACGTATGTAAGTGCACTGTGATGCACAATTATATACAGTAAATACACAATAATAATTAAAAAAATAAAATGGAACACTTGAATGGCATGTTAAGCGAATTAAAGGTGAAAGTAAAGGAGAAGTAAGTGATGAACGACAAATAAAGGGAGTTAAGTTAATCGTGTACGAGGCAGTGCAAAAGATATAACAATATTCCAGGTTGGTGAAATGCAAAGGTTTATGATACTTACTCAGTAGTATAGATGAATAAGTTTGTTGAATACAATACACTAGAGAATGTGTGGTAAAGTTCTTGTGAGAATTATAGCACCAATATAGGTTAAATTAAGAGCAGTAAGGCTTCAGATCAAATTTTTGCTATTTATGTGGTAATAGATTTAGAAAAATGATGGAAGCCTAGAGTGTGTGTGTTGGAGAGGGAGATAAACAATGATGTTGAAGAAGTACTGAATCACACATTATGACTGAGGGGTAGAAAAAGAGTGATTCTGTCAAATTCAAATCCCCAATTACTCTCTTGCAAAACCTGCCTTTTGCCGGAGGGTTTAACAGTTTTAACAGAAGGATACATTATTTAGCCAGAGAAGGCAAGATCAAGTTTTCTACTGCGAGCAACACTTCTCACCTATTCAAATTAGGTCAAAGATTTACTTGATCCACTAGCTGATGAAATCCTTACAATAAATTCACACAAGTCAAGTCCCCTGCATGCTATAAAGGGGGAATTCAGAAGATGGTTCTCTCAGTTCTTACCAAATTTAAACCAGCTTAGGAAAAGGGAAACAAAACAAGTTACCAGTAACTTGCTTCATCCCATCATAAAATAGATTTCCATACTACAGTCCTTCATTTCTTGACTACAGAACTTCAACAAGCGACCTTTAAAATTTAAACATGCTAGGACTGGAGAGAGGTGGTCATACTCAAATGTCTACTACACACACCCCACAAGGAAGTACTGTACAACATAACTATGATGTACACCTGGGGTCAAAAGTTTTCTCCCTCCTAAACTGTATCGACCCCCAAAGGAGATAAACAAAGCACACCCACACCAGATGACAGTCAGGGTAAGTAAGTTCGGAACCTCAGTATCATCACAGGGAGCGAACTTTTGACTGCGACTATACAAAAAACTACCTTTTTCTTCCAATATCCACAGTTTTGGTTCTTTAGCTCTTCAAGTATATTTTTAAATGAAGATGAAGTGAATACTTAATACTCTACCCAAAATGGGGAGAAACTCCTCTAAAATACACCACCAAAGAAGAGAAAACCTCTTGTGTCCACTAGGTCACTTGTACATGAAAGTTAAGAAAGTATAATTAATTTTATAGTTCAGGACCTCAAAGTTATAGCTAAAGGCCAATGCCAGTGTTTGGCCTCTTAAGATAATCACTCCAGCAAGCTTAATTCATTCGGGTGATTCAGTGTTGTCCCAGTACTGTATCACATCATCAACAGTCACTTAATGTTATTCTTTTATTTAATACTCACATGACTTTTTGCTATTTTATTATTATTTTTTTGCATATTATTAGCCAGTGTATATGTTTGAGTATAGTAGATGTTAGCTGTGCAGTACTTGTATTTGTTACAGATATACTGTATCGTTTTGATCATATAGCTGCCACTAAAATTGTCAATTGAGGCTTGTAGAAACTTGAATAGCTATTGATTTTTTTTAATTTGTGAATAATGTAGCTATTGATTTTTGGTGGAATTGATTACTTTTATTCTTTCATATTTTAACTGTGTACAGGGGGTATGTGTTTCTCTCACCAATATGTAAGAAATATTAGAACTCAGTTTGGTATCACACCTATGTTGCCTCTCTAAAGCCCGCTCCTCAGTAAGATATAGAGGAACAAACCATAAACTCCCCATATTCATATTATCCTGAGGAGTTGACTTACTGACTGTCAACCAAAGAGACAGGTACAGTACTCAGGTTCCAACAGAACAAAGTGTCCTCAGTCTTACATTCACTGAATAAAACCAGAGGCTGATCAAGTTGACACACTACTGAGGTGTGAAGTTCTAAAACACTAATCCTGCATCCCATTCATCTTATAGTGCTAACCCTGCTACAGCACCTGCCCCAGTTCAAGATGGTAGCAGAAACTGTAAATGATTTGAAAAAAGTTTAATCAGGTTGTGACCCCATCCCTTCAGTTCCCCCATCCTCCCCACAGTGGAAAATCTGAGACAAAAGAGATTAGATCCTTACCCCCCTGTTCGTAAAGCATTACTCTATTCCCAGCTAGGGCGTGTGGTCTGATGCTAAGCTCCCAATCTGTGAGGTGGAGAGAGTGATGACATGTCTACAACACATGATCTCATATGTTCGTTAATTTCACTTACAATGATACAATAATACAGTATACTTAATCTCACTTCCAGGCACTTGTGAGCATGTTCTTGACTCTGGTAATGTGAGTGGACTAATTCTTATCCCACTTATGAGAATGATGGAACCTAGACACAGTTAGTATAGTCATTATCCCCATCATCCTGCAGATTATTGTGACCTCGAACTTCCAGACTGCCATCCAGATATAAGACAAAAAATACTCTTATCATGTCACTTTCCACGAGCATAGTTTTCCCCCACATGAGGCAGAACTTATTACATATACTGTACTAGGGTCCTAAGCATAGGCCTGGGCTACATAGGATTATCACCCAGTACAGTACAAGTAAGATATCACACTACTCACCCCAGCAGCCTATCCTTGTACTGTACTTGAATAATAGTAAAGGGATTCCAAAAAATAACAAATTTTTAGTGGACTTGCATTAAACTAAATATTTCTGAAGTACAATGTTTTTTTATCAATAATTTTAGTTAATTACTTATAACTAGTTTCATTCTCAGTATGATGGGTTTCAAATACATATTTTAACTATCCACAAATCATTTATATCTGTTAATTTAATGTTTCATGTTAAATCTCTCGAGGAAATTTGTGTTAAGAAACTTTATTACTGGTTTTAGGTATTGTGGACTTAGTAGTTCTAATCTGATAGTTTCTTTAAGGTTTGCCCGGAGCGATTGTTGAAATCTTTGATAGGTCTCATGAATTATTACTTCAGTTAGCACTCATTTAAATCTCCTCCAGCTCATGAAGGATATAGTTGTGTTAGGAAGAAATAGAATGTTTATGTCTCAAGACTTAACGGGTATATATAGACTTAGCCAAACTCTCAGGAGTCAAGGAAAGTCTAAACTGGAGTGAAAGCAAACTATTGTAACATAATGTTAACAGTAATTATCATGAGGATTGTTAATATCCAATTATAGAGTAAACAAACAAGGAGCCGTAAGACTGTAAAAAAAAAAAAAAAAAACGAAAACCTAAGAGTTCAAAGGTAGATTAAGATGGTACAAACTATTGTATTATTTGTTCAAGTCAGAGATCAAGTGAATAATCTGTATCAAAATGCAGGATTTGTCACTGATAAAATGTGTCTGCCCGAAGATCCAGCTCAATTGGTATAAAAATATAAAATAAAAGTTTTATTCACCCTTGGATGTTTAAAGGTACGTACGGTAGTATCAAACCAATCATGTTTGTAACTTGGGAGACTACAGTAGCTCAGTCTTTGGTGAATATCTGTTGATTATAAACCAAAATTATAAGTTAGAGTTCATTCTTTATATATTCCTTGGTAATTTCTGATATAAAGTTCGTGAATGGATTACCAAATTTCATATCCCAGAAGAAGAAAAGCACTTCATACTATTCAACTAAAAGGAAGTGAAATATTATTTGAGAATTATTACGAAAGAGTTTTTAATCTTGTTTGATGTAAATGTACGTGATTTTGAAGTAGTAATTATGCCTGGACCAAAGAGAAACGTTTGCTTCACCCAAGGAGGATTGCAGTGTCCAGATGTCAAATAAAATACTAATTTAAATTTTATTTAAAGTCTAAGCTACCATATTTAAGTGAAAATCACTAAACCTGTAACTCTGGGAACTATTGCAGCCCCATTTACTATCCTCCTTCAGAAGTTCACTGATGATATCAATAAAAACAATTAACACTTGCACCATGAATATAGACAACTGCTTAACTGAACACACCTCATCTTAATTTCTAAACTCTGTATGATTAAGTAAAATGACTATGGCAAACACTTAACTTAAAGAACACATTAACAAATACAACAAAGAGCATTCTTAACAAATATCTTTCTAGAATATGGCAAGTCACTTGACTGAGGGCAGGAGTAGCTTGTGTACTGACCACTTGGAGTTGTGGCAGGAACTGAGAGGAATGACATCTACATATACTTTTAATGACCAACAAGGGTCTCAATCATGAGAGTTCATTATAAGGGTTTTTTGAGTCCCTGACCTAAGACCTCACTGGACCTTGCTTCAACCATCACATCAAATGAGATCCAGTAAATATTTGACTGTTTCATGTGGGTGAGGAACAGTAGCTATTTGCAGCAGGAAATAGTAACTGGTCTCACCCACCCTGATAGTGGCAGTTGATGTCTGATGGTTTGGATATCATGTGTAACTCATTGATACTGAGTCATAAAATAAAACACCAATTGACAAAAATAAGTAGATGCAAAACAATGTAAAAATATAATAAAGTAAATCAACAAAAGAGAGAGGGAGAGAGAGAAAGAAGTAATTTATTGATCTCCACTGAAAAATAGGACCTCCCTGTAGTTGTTCTGTAGAAAAATAAATTAACAAAATTGTGTAGCATATGTTTGTATATATGCTTCTCTTTCAGTGACAACTAACCAGCAAAACCTCATCACAAACTGACTACTGTGAGGTTTTATTACAATTACACTGGAAGAGTAAATAAGAATAGTGTAATAATATTTAGCATGAAATCACAAATCTGTAAAACTTTCATGACATAAAATATTTATTACATGCATTACAAGATCATAGCATAATTAAATGTTTGTACTATAATATGGTCAAGAATTTTATATATGTAATCTATCAATATCCGTAGTCACTTTTAGAATTTAAACTCGTAAATTTCACATACTAAAGCATAATTTCATACAACAGAGTTGAGGGTAACCATGTTTTCATTTTCTCTGGAATGAATCCTTAGTTATGTGTACCGTGAGGCAGAGCTTCTTTTTTAAGGAGTAGAAAGGCAAGTAAGGACTATGGTCAAACTACATCTGCATAGAATATTTTGGCTGCGTTCGAAAATTAATGAGAATTAAGCACCTCATCGAAGGCTCATGCACAAGCTTATGTTATTATTTTCTCCAAATGAAAAGGAAAGATTTACACCTTCAAGATTCTTATGGAATTGAATTGTCTTATATAACTCTAACAAACACTGAACACTGTAATTATTCTTTGTCAGGGGATAACTATGAGCAACTACTATACTGTATAGGAGAGTGGTAGGTAGTAATTACAGTATATATATGATAAAGGTTGTGAGGATAAAACAAAAGAAAATATTTGCATGATCAGTGTTGGCTGATTGGTGGTTCACAATTCATCTAGAAATTTTTTTTTTATCATGGTCTAAGATACAAGGCAGTAACTCATTTAAACATTAAGCCATTATTTGCATTGTTTGATGTGAAGTGTAGCGAGTTGAAAACATTCCTTACCAATTGTTGAAACATTACTGATGAGAAATCGATCATATCGTACATGTACGAAGAGGAAATTGTCGAACGCAGCCTCTTGTCTTCATTTTCACTTCTGAAATTCCTAATACATTTACCACATATATTTGCATCCATACTGTTATTGATGCTAATGATTATATTCATATTAAAAATTCAATGAAGTAGCTATATACATGTTTAACAATAAATGACAGTATCAACATTGGCATATGTCTAATGATTGTTTACAGCTTCAGTTTCCTGTCTCCACACATGGAATCACAAATAATATACTCTGATCACAACAACGTAAGATAAATTATATATAAAAGTAGTACTGTAACTCGGTGATGGTCGTGAACAAACTTCCCAGGTATTGACAAATTACAAACAGTTATCAACAGGGAATAAATCAACAAAAACTTAGTACGGTACATGGCATAGAACATCGTGATGAGAAATGAATATTTAAGGATGATATGAACTACACTTCAAATGAATAACTATTCCACACTTTGTATCACAATATCTTATAATAAAGGGAAACAAAAATTGGCACCTAATAACACAATGTGACCCATCATAATGTACACAACTGTAAATATTATACACAATATAAGTGATTTTTGACATAATTTATGATACTAAATCAACAAATACTGAAAATAATCATGTTCCCATATAAAATAAGTTAATTTGTATCCAGCAGCACAGGGTACATTCATCAATAAAGATTGTAAAACATGAGTAATAAATATATATAATTCAGAAAAAAAAAGTCTTAACTAGTGAAACATCTATTAATTAAATGTCTTTCCTTTCTCTAAATAATCAGACAATTTGCATTCATTCCCCTTCATAGCCAGAGGCAGTGACTGCACAAACTTCAGTCTCAAAATGCCAAACAAAACATGCTTATCACCTTAGTCAGCCTCTAATGTCAAGTTTCTAGTATACAGCAAATATAAAAACTTTCATCAGAATTACACTGTACATAATAAACCCACAATTACATAAATCCTAAACACACATGTGGCTCATTATGGGCAGCACTAGTGGTTTCCTCTAGACAGTGACTAGTATTGAACGACCCACACATATAAAGCTTCTTTGTTTATTCAGGCGCCAGTAGATTTTATCACACACACAAACAAATGACCTTTAGAGAGTCAAGTCAACTGTAAAGCAGGTCTGTGGAAGGACCCGAATAGGCTTGACATCACATTGAACTGTCATCTGCTTAAACAAAGGCGCCTACTGTTAAGGAACCTGGGGCTGTGTGTTCTCTCAGTGGTAGGCAAACCATGTGCCATAGTACTGGTACATGCAGCCTCACCCTCTATCTGAAAAGAAAGATTGATGTTAACTACTGAATATATTGCCAAATCACATCAACATTAAATATCCCAATTTATAATTCAACTTAAGTGTAAAATAAGTGATGAATAAAAATTTGATAATTTTATCATGGTTGTCAGCAGGACCAAACTCTCACTGTTCCTTGTGACTTGGGTTAATTAAATAACTTAATATATATATACTTGAATCTTTTGATGCTGTATTAATGCTCCTCAAGACATCCAATAATTAAATAAGGAGTTTCTGAGAAGACTTTTGCCAAGGTCTACACCAAGCTGGAACTCTACTCCATTCAAAACAAACATATAAACTGACCTTGCCACCAAAAGATAGTGGGTTGACACAAACAGATAATACCTTATAAGAGAATAATTAAAACACAATACAACATCCTTCATTCATGAGGGGACGCCAAGGTATGACTGTCTTTAGTGATCCATGAAAGTTTTATTTTGGGAGAAGAGATTATCCTTCCTTATATATAATGTTACACTTCTTTTACCTATTTTTGTTCAAAGAGAAGAACCACCCTGAAATCTGTAACAAAATTTAGTCAGGATAGATGGACTAGTGCAGATTCCCCAGCTCTTAGCATTCAGCAACTTGTGGGTTACCCTTGGTAGAATACTGTACTGGCTCACCAAAGGATTTTTCCACTATTGGCAAGTGATCTTATCTTACTGCTGAGTATGAAAGGTCTAGTGTACCATACATGAGAGAACCCAGGACCCTCTGCTTTCAAGGTGAGTGAACTACATCACAGTTATAAAGTCATTTAATTTAGACTTAACAGAAATTAATATTAGTCCTTTCCCCCTTTCTTAGTCTTAATATTTTTCCTTAGGTCTATCTTTCTCACTTTTCTTGTTTCACTATTACCACTTATCAGTAGCACACCTGGAGGAAAAAAACTAATTCTTTAAATACATTTACTTAGATGCATGCAGTTGGAAAGCAGGTAATTCCTTCCCATGACAGGCAAACCAACAAAACAGTTTAGTACAATGTTTCTAAGTACTACAGTAAAGTATTATTTTTCGTTATTGAACACTTCATTATGTGCTATCATTCTCTGAATACAGGAAGATATGTTTATCATTTAATTTAAAAAAAATATTATAAATCACCTACAGTTCATGGCATTGTATAGAATAGACAAGTAGTAGATTTCTTGAAGAACTACTGTATGAGTATTAATGTGTCCTGGGAGCTCTGAAGTCCTGAGATTTAAATGAAAAAACTTCATAAGTGTGGCAACTAGATTTCCATCCTTTTAGTACGAACAAAGGCACACAAATAAAAATGTGTTTACACAATTACAAATACAGTACCTAATCACTGCATTCCATTATAAATAAAACTGTCAGAACAAAAGGTAAACTGTACCTTCAACAGAGGTCTAAGAGGTAATGGATTCTTCAAGTTTTCTACGTTTTTCTTCAAACTCTGTTTCAATTGCATTTCTTGCCTGAAATACAAACAGTATATAATTAATCCACCTTCATTACCATATTTTATCAACAAAGAATATACCCGGTACCAGTACTCACCTACTAAGTAGCAGCTACAACTTCAAAAAATATTTTCATTACTGCATGTAAATTTATAATATACAGTAAAACCCTTGTTTTTACATGGTGTTGTCCTTAAGTCATATACTGTACAATAACCATAAAATTATAAATTCAAGAAATAAAGGGAAAATAATGGGTTACTGTTCAGGCATTTAACAAAACATCCACTATGACACTTTTTCCCCTATACTGTATTATACATTACAGTCGTGTGATTCCTTTGCTGCCAGACAACTATGGTGAGAGAGAGTATATTTATTACCAATTATTAAAACTAAAACTTACCTGGCATGATTCAGGGCCCAAGACTGACTAAAATCATTTCTTTGTCAGTAACAGTACATGAACCTACAGTACCTTAACCGAAAATGTGTGAACTACTGGTAATCTCCCATGACAAATGACCCAACTTGAGATGAACACATAATCTTACGTGGGAGGGAAACACATGAAAGAGCTAAGTTTCTTTATTTCTCTAATGTTTCGGGCTACACAGAACCGAAATCTTTAGAGAAATAAACTTAGCTCATTCCTGTGTTTCTCTCCCACCCATCAAATCCACTTGTCGTCATGGATCGATCACATATAATCTTACCCTTTGCTTCTCCTCTTCGTACTGATTTCGAATTTCTTCTTGTTGCTTTTCTAACTCTGCCTTCTTCTTATCGTGAATGTCTGTGAGTCTCTGTCTTTCCTGGATACCTTCAGCAACTATTTGTTTACTGATCTCACGCTTTTTCCTGTAAAGTGACAACACAGATTTTAAAGTCTTGTTAATCAACAATAATTGTGAAGTAAACTCCAAGATGACAAATATGGGTCAATTACTCCATAAGAAAAAAAAATCAATAAAGTGTAATCACGATGCCCCTGACAATGTTTGAGGTAATGCAATTGCCGCACTGGACATTGGTAAAATGTGGAGTGCGCTAGAACACTTTTTTCTCAATGCAATTTCTTGTAAATCTGAAAGTGGAATATGGGAAGTGAATGATATTTAGTGAATTACAATACAGTATTTCACTACAGTACTGTACTGTACTTAAGTTCTGAGTAATGGTGCTCCACATTGTTCTTTTGTTTATTGTGTCAATGATGAGATATTTTTGTTTAGGTTAAGGAGAGAATATGGCTGTGAGGGAAAGGTAGTTGGATGTCCCTTTTGTTTTAACATGTAGCTGAAGGAACTAAATAGAATGTATCAGGCACACAAAATACTACTGCCATTGCTCGGACAAAAAGCAAACTAAAATGTACCCAAAAAAGAAGAATTGTAGACCTACTTTTTCAGTAAGTTTGGCCTTAAAAGTTCATATTAGCTATACTCCTGTACATGCATATACAGTATATGGTATAGTAAGAATCAGCAAATGAAAACTATAGAGTTGTTAATGCTGCTAGAAATATCAATACAGTTCAAATAAACAATTTATGATTGTGCTTCTTCCTTTTTTTAAACATATCTGACAAATTGCACTGCCCCAGTGGCCACTATCAGAAGTTATAAGCACATCACTGTACTGCCTGTAACAATTTATAACAAACCTGCTTAATTCTTCTTTATCACCACCAACTGTCTTGACAAGTCCTTTTCGCTTTTCTCTGTGTTGTTCCTCTGTTTTACGTTTAATATCATCAACTTGTTTGTCATGTAAGGTCTGTAAGGTCTTTAACTGTGCTGCTTGAGACATCTTCATGGCCTTCTCCAGTGCAGTGAAGATCTGAAAGATAATTTCAAGCATGATCATCAACCAAAATCCTTAATGGGTCAGATACACAATGCAAATTTTACAAAATAATGTTACTGAAATGTTAAATAATTATTTCCCATCAGCCACCGTTATTTTGCATAAATTTATAAATTGTTTAATGCTCCGTTAATTTTAAAAAGTAAGGAATGTAAATTAATTTTACATTGACAGTGGTAGATCTATGGAACAGTCTGCCAGCTCAAGCTGTGGAATCACAAACTGTACTCAGCTTCAAAATAGCCCTTGACAAATCTATCAAGAACACTGGAGGGATCCTACACATGCCACTGGCCTCCTTCTCTCAGCAAGGCCACCTCTAGTGAGTGACCATTAGGTAAAAAAGGTAAATATGAATACTGTATTCATTACTATGTGCAAAATATTAATTTACTGAATATGCAGCATGGGTAGTATTACTGATCATGAAGATGATTCCAGGTAGTTTACTGATCCCCATTCCTACACCTGTGTCTCTAATTAACAACACGTTAACCACCACGCGGTCGTCATTCACTTTGCCACAGATCATCATCTACCATTATTTCCTGATATTCAAACAATAATTACCTCATAAAACAAAATAATAATCATAAAATAACAAAACATCATTTCAAATAAATGATTGAAGTTCAGTGGCAGCTCATCTATTTGGGTTGGAGGTGAAGCTCCTACACTATACAGTACAGTACTGCCAGATGTATGATATAATAACTCTGAAGCTGAAAGAAGATTGTTGGGTTTTATATTGCATTCCAAACAATATAATTATACAGGGTAAAGTATTCTCAATTAAAAATATGAAAACAAACATCATATTTTATGAAAGATGCCCATATTGGTGACACCTTACAAATGCAACAAAGTTCTGCCAGACACAGAAACAGTGTCATGCCACAGTTAAGAGCTAGACTTTTTTTCCCCCTCCACCACCTGTTAGCTTAATTAACTGTTTGGGCAGTCGGTCTTTTCTGTACTAGGACCTTCAATGTCCAGTGTAGGATCATGGTGTAACTGTTTACAGTTACATGATATGCATGTTGTTGTCTTACTTGCTGTGTATGGCTTGAAAGAGCAGAAAGGGAACTTCTTGATTTTTATGAATAAAACTGCCTTCATATATTACGGTTCTTTAGTGAAATATTTAAGACGCCCTAATAAACACATCATACAGTAAATGTTTTTTTCATATTTCAAAGTAAGTAAGAGAAGGAAATACTAAGTCTTTAAAATACTCACTGGTTCATGATATTTCTCTTGCAGTTTCTTTTCAGCAATGAGAGATGCTTGCCCTAGTTCACTAAGACTTGCTTGGTACGACTTCTCTAGCTCCTGTAAACGTAAATCGAGGTCCTCTTGCATTGCACTAAGCTCCTGCGTGCTTTCTTTTGCAACAGGTCCTGCCGGTTCACTGTTGAAAAGTCTTGTATTAGCAGTTTGTATATATTCACGACAACCATAAATCATTATCTTTTATTCCTTCATGCTGCTTTAATACATATAGTTCATTGTAACTGAGTCAACACAAATGTGACTGATACTTACACGCCTTTGTTGGCTGAGTATTTTTTAACGAGTTTAGAATGTGATTTCTGTAGTTGACTTCTCCTCTTCTCTTGCTGTTGAGTGAGATTTTGTCGTTCCTGTCAAAGATACAAATGGTCTACTTTCTGGTACCTTTTTGTGTATATTTAAGCCCCTTCCTTCTCTCCCTCTTTCACTAATCTATTTATGTTGTCAAGGGATAAAATCTCAACAGTCAAAGGGGTATTAATAAGCAAAGCTGCATTCTATTACAGGTACAGTATTAGAATATTGGGTACAGTGAAACCTCTATATAATGGATTATGTGGAGAGGAATGTCTGCTATATCGAAGCTCCATTAGATGTGCCCCCCCTCCCCCTCCCCACATCTCATGGAATATATGGAGAACAGGATCTAGTTGTACATGAATAAAACTCAATTAATTCGTAAGACTTTATAACTTTCTATGCAATTTCCTACAAACAATATTAATCTAATCTAAAAATAACCTTAACTCATGAACAGCTAAAAGGAAAATAAACATACCTACTGTTACCAATCGGCTCTTCTTACCTTTTCATATTTTTTTCGTAACTTGTCTATGCTCTTCTCCAGCTCCACTCTCTTCTCTTTCACACTCTTGTAGTTTAACAGTTTGTCTAACCCTTCAGCTTCAATAAGATGTTTGCTTGTTTCTGTAAAGTGAGTAACTTGATTGAGCACGTGTGGTTAATGCATACGGAAGAGGTAAATACACATACAGCAACTACACTAAAAATAAAAAAAACTCAAATAAATAAACAGTATACTATTAAGTACCAGTATGAATTATATAAAAAAATGACTCATTATAGTTACAGATTTTATTTAAATTCATTATAGAGCACTTCAGGTAATTTATCATTGGTATGTTCAAATTTTCTTTAAATCAATCACATTCACATCTCATCTTCACATACTAAATGATTGGTATTAAATGTATAAACAGTTACAACTTAGACTTCATATTTATCAACAGGACTGCAGGAGAGAAAGTTAAGGGCTAAAACTTATGAAAACCACCAGATAATTTCTCCAAAGTGTATAAACATATGCCAAGAGTCGAGTGTTTTGGTCGTTGTATCAAGTAGGTGTTAAATTAACGCCACTCCAGCATACAGTTTAAAAAAAAAGACATCTACCTGTATTTAAAATTAATTACAACATAAGTGCATTAACTTTCAAATAACTCATTCTGATTTCCCAACAAAATAATTCATTTTAGTCCACCCCCCCCCCAAAAAAATCAAACAAATATAAATCAGCTATTGAATGAGTAAAGAGTAAATAGTGTAACTGTGCATCTACAGGACTACTACAAAAGCTCACTGTCAGGTACCTAGGAGAGTCACAGAACCCTCCTTTTCCCGGTCAGGCTTTTCCTCACTTGTCTTTGTGTTCAAGTGAGCCTTGGCTGAGACAGAGTTCTGGCGACCTGGGGAGCAAGACCACCACCATACGTTAGTTAGCTGCTAGAGGCTAAAGGTTAGCATTATGCTGATTTATAAGTCAAATAATCTTGTAAGTATTATAACTGGTAAAAAATATATAGATTGTCTTATTACTAATCTAGCAACAAATTAAATAGCAGTCTGACTGTAGACAATATTCTTACACAACAATTCTTCTTTAAAAACCATAAAAATATTCATCCAAATGTACTGTACCCTAAGAAATCAGCTGAGGATCACGGTAAACTCCAGTCTTGACAGTTTAGTCTCATAATGCAAAAGCTACATGATACTTCATTAACAAAATTTGTCTAATGATGAGAAAAAACAAAGGCTGGTCCAAAGCTTGATGAGAAAAAACAAAGGCTGATCCAAAGCTTAAGTGATAAATTCATGATTATATTTAAATGCAAAGATTCATGGTCATAAAATCATGATGGAAAGGATTCCTAAAAGTTGTGTGCCATGTATTATAACTGAATCCTTCCACCCAAACACTGTACAGCACAGCACAGTATGCAGTCCCAATTAAGTGGATACCAACAAGCATATAGATTATTAAACACAAAAGCAATTCCATGGACATTTTTACATAACAGTAAAACTAAGACAAAATTTACCTTTTAGTTAATTAATTTAGTAAACAGTACTTGAAGATCCATCCATTAAATGAAAAGAGATATAATATTAAAAATGAAGGCCTGATCCACAAACCATATTTTCTAATTTAGTCAGGGTACGAGCAACTCTGTATACAATCACTTTAGTCAACTGTTGACAAACATTAGATTAGATCGATCTTTCATGTATTTTTAAGTCATATTATACAAACAAATTATTCACTACTATTCTGATTATTACTACTGTATTCCCTTTCCATTCAAATGTAGATCTGCAAAGTTTTCTAAAATATCCAGTAAAATTTTACTAAACGAGAACTGCAGACCAAACAATTCCCTTAAACACACAAAAAAAAAATTTTTAAATACCGTAGATCATAAATTAAGACATGTATTTTATATTATTGTTTTATACATTATGACTGCTACCTCGCTGCAACACACTAAAACATTCTCAGTCACCAAACGTACAGAATATTATCAACAAATAAGCAACATTAAGTATATTCTATACAGTCAGAACACTATTTAGTTTGAAATTTTACTCTAAAGCATTTAAAGTATCACTATGATTATCCTTAGGTGTGAAAAGTGACACAATATCCAGAACTACTACCAGATCCAAGCTGCTAATTATTATCTGCAAAAAAAAAGAAGTTTACCCCAATTGTGCATAAGCATTAATACCTTATCCCAGTTTGATATAATCTTGATATCCTGTTTATCAGAGTTTTTATTGTAGTCGATCATTCTCTGTATACATGACATCAAAGTTATGTAATACACTGTACTGTATTAGTCTTTAAAACTACTGAAAGATGTTGCAAAAAGTTTTATGATCAATAAAAGCAATGGAAGAATCAAGAGACATTCCCAGAATGGAGACAAAAACAGGTAAGAGTGAAGGTGAAGTGAAGACTGTACAGTACTTGTGCTTTACAATATGAAGTTGGTAAGTATGTTGGGTTTGATCCTCATATCCCTTTTTTTACCAAAGTAGATAGGCAAGTGGGATATATTACCACACATGCTATAATGGGGGTTTACTTCACCATGACTTCCCCCCACCCACCCAAGAGTGACTCCAATTGTATTACAAAAACTCTTCCTTGTCATGCAGTGCACTGAGGATAACCTGAAGAAGTCATCAGCACCCAGAGCCTCAGTACTGTATAATAATAAATGTCATGCATCTGCTTAGGTATAAATCTGGTAGATACATCTCCAAGATCCCATGAACCAATATCAAAAGGGTCAGAAGAGGAGATAATCTGAAGCATATAAGGAAGTAATACTGTACATGTGAATCTTCCTCCACCATGGGTCACTGAATAGGAGATAAAAGAGAGAAAAATAATCAGGCAAGGCTTCACACAAAACTGAAGCAGAAGGAGAAGCAAAAGCTGTTAGGCCAACAAAGGCTGACGAGAACTGAAATAGCAAAAACAATGAAAGCTACTCTATGACTCTATGACCAGCAGTAAACAGGAGAAAGACGATAGGAACACCTATTTCCAAGAATCTCAAACCCAGAAGATTTCTCCACTCCACAGGTATCAGCCTATCAAGAGATTTCCCCCCAAAATAATGGAGGATAAGAATTACCAAATATTCTCTACAAGAAGAAAAAGAAGGATATCTATCATTCTCCCACTCCATCATATTCCTTGGCCAAAATTCTCAACCAAGGTGTGACCTGGCCAACTCCACCAAATATTCTGAGTGCAGAAACATGTAAAGAACAGCAGATGGACACTTCCAAAATTTCTAACAAGTAAGAGTGAAGACTGGGTAAAAATAGTGGAACCTCAATGTCTCTATATCTACTCCTCAAGGACTGGGTGAATCTGAATAAAAGAGGCCAAAACACATAGGTGCCAGATGTGTCACTAGTTAGTGTGTCAGCCAAGATCACTAACAGGGTGAGCCAGAGGTGTATAATGGAGGAATTTGGTTGCTCCAGCCTTATCTGTACTGCATCATGAACAGTGGAGAAGGTTTGTACTTGAAAATTATATAAATAATGAAAGTCTAACTGGAGGACAAACACTAGAAGCAGAGACATGATTGAGGTGCAGTGACTTGTATGGCTGATGACACAGCCCATACGTATGGAGATCAACAATGCCACACAAGAACACACAGGAGGGTCTTACTGTACCAGCGAATAGCACAAAGAGGCAACACAAAGCGGGCAGTAAAGAGACTTAAAGGACGGACACACACACACACACACACACTTTTTTAATTATCTTACAAACAGAAGTCCTCTCAGTAGCCACACTAGCTTACACAACACAACAAGAGAAATGCTGATGGCAGAGTAAATGCTAATAAGTGCAAAGGCAGTTGGGAGTGCAAATGTGGCTTCATGGGTAGGTAAAAATGTGCCAAATCATTCCTTCAAGAAGAAAGATTATAATGTAATGATGGACACAAATAGTGTCGTTACTATAAGTTATGAATTTGTCTATGTTGATCCACAGTTACTCTTCCTGAGGCTGATAACAGCAGGCACAAGAGATGATCAACTCCAGGCAATCTTTGATGAGCTATACAGTTACCCACCTGCCCTATTTGAGACAAAACATGTCATGAGTGCTGCTAGCAAGCCAGCACTAGCAGAAACTTTAGGGGCACTTCTACCCTGTGATGTTTCTGGCCCAAATGGTGATGACATACTGTTTGTATTAGATGGTGGGTCTTTGTTACACTGCAGCCCTGGGATGAAAGAACCATATATGAATGCATCTGCAAAAGGTATGTTGACTATATGACAAGGCACTATGGATCAGCAGTCATTGTGTTCGATGGTTATGATGATGGACCAACCACAAAGATGCTACACACCAATGGACGATTGGAGAGCACATCAATATCTCTGTTGTCTTCACAATTCCCATGACTGTGAATATAAAGATAGAAGACTTCCTGCCAATACAACAAACACTCACAAAATTTCAATAGTATGCTACTAGACAGACTGGCCCAAAGTGAAACAAAACGTGCCAAGTATGATGCAGATTTACTCATCATCCAGACTGCTACTGACAGCATTTCTGATCCTCCTCTGTTACCATGCACTCATGATATGCACGTCTAAAGCAAGAAAACCACCAAAATGCTGGAACATCAAAGTGACCAGACAGGTGCTATGTGAAGTCTGTAAAAATCTTCTATTTTTCCATACACTCTAGAGGTGTGATACATCATCTAGAGCATTTGAAAAAGGCAAAAGAAAGGCTCTGAAACACTTGCCTTTTAATCTTCTTATCATATCAAACTCTTCAGGCAGAGGGATTTAACAAAAATGAATCCCTGAGAGGATAATCTAACTGCAAAATAATGGCTGCATATGGTGAAAGACAAATGGGGCTAAAATTAGATCAGTTTCGGCTCCAACAGTCTTATCAGAAAGTTGGATTAAGTACATGGTATGTACAGCCTCAAGCCCTGCCGCTGATATTAGCGGAAACACATTACCATAGTTTTCAAGTGTACCATCAAGTCTAAGCATGGAGAGAGCATGACTTACAGCCTTGCAAATGAGGATGGTAGATTTTGCAATGGAAAACTGATTCCTATCATGATCAACAATGAGGTGACACCAAAGTTTCTTCTGAAAGTAATCAGGGGGGTATGGTACTGTACTTTAAGTCAGGGTGTTCAACGACGAGATGCTCCGGTCAAATATCAGATCATGTTCTCTATACATGTCACCTCTCCCTCATCCTCACTAAATCTAATTTTTTTTAATTATTTTCAGTAAATACAGGGTGTCTACAAAGACGTCTTCCAGTTTTAAAATTTTATTGCAGGAAACAAAAACAGAAAGAATTTTGCAAATGCTTATCTAACAATTTTTCTTTCTTGTTTTACAGTTTGTAATCAGTGCCTCCAGTTGCTATTGATAAAAGCTTCAATGAGGATGGTAACTACACAAGAGAATGTTCCATGTTTTCATCTACATGAACCCAAAGTAGAGTATTGGGTAGATGTGCTATGGTCCACTAGTGATGCACATCCTGAGGTGCACTAAATAACATATAAAACTCGACTTGTTAAGCAACAAAATGCAAAAACTGCATTTTTCTATCTCTTTGGGTTTTATTGTACCTGGTAATAAAACATTAAAACTGGAACAGGACTTTTTGGACACCAGAATCACATGCATACACTATTATTGGTAAGTTTGGATATCAAAATTAGTGAAAAAAGATGCAAAAAGAAAAATTATGCATCAATAAGAAAACTATTCAGTGTACAAGGGAACTGCATCACCACCCAGCTGTGTAAGGAAACACATATCAGGCTAAACATAAAGACACACACTAAAGGATGTGTGAGATACTAAATGCATCAGCACATCAAAATATCACCATTTTTGCCTTTCCATAAGTTTCCTGGAATTTTAGATCAAAACACATTTCCATTTCTTCAACATAATGTATAGTGGTGAATGAAGGTAATCATCTTCCAATGGTAATGGGTTAAAACAAAATAAAGTACAGAGAGAGAGTTAGACTTTCTACTGAGAAAATACAGTAATGTTAAGATAAAATATCATAAGTACCGGCAGATACAGTGCAATAATCTTTATCCTTATAAAATAAATATTCAAACTTTTACTTTATACTTACGGGCTCCAATGGGCGTGCTCTCGTGTGCAGCCGATGTAGTGTCAGGAACTTCCCCGTTACTTTTAGTTCTTGAGGCCTTATTCTGTCCATCGTCCCCGACAGTTAGAGAGCCTTCGCCACCAACTCCCTGACTTGCTTTTGAATCATTTTTTTTAACAGGCGTGTGAGGAGGTTCACCAACCCCACCTTCTTGCTGTTTGGGTACAGATACAATAAATGGTCATCAACGCAGTGTTTAATAAGGCAACGGATAACTCCCTATAGCAATGAGGTAAACAATAATGCAAAATAATAATATATGTATGACTTAGGTGAGGTAAATATAACACACACACCAAAAAAATTGATAATACTGCAACAAAATGGACACAGAAACCATGAGCAATAGAATTACAATACAAACAGTTCATGGTCTACAAGAATTAGCCATATTGTATTAACTTTGAACTATAATAGAAAAGAAAGTAAAAAAATATATACAAACAGGACAATGTAAGGTCAGGAATCTTTTTATAGGTGTGTATGCATGGAAGGAGACTACTTGTGTTACTCACTGGGCTGGGAATAGTGAGACGGAGAAAATAATCATTAAAAGAGCGAAAGAAATATGAAAAAAGAAGATGTACAGTATTGTAGTTGTATACATCTGATTAAGCCATAAATAAATGTGTTCCATAACCCCTTCACTATGGGGATGTCACTTTTAATATTTTACTTAGCTAATGACAGATGATTTTATTCGGCAGAAAGAGTCCCCCGTACACAAGAATTAACACTTCCATTCAAACATTTGCACCCAACTCCTTACCTCTATCTCTTCATCGTCCTGGAACACCGATAGCTGTTGTGTTCTCTTCTCCAGTTCACTCTGATACTTGATAGGGTTTGCTAAGGCTTCAGCAAAATCACTTAAGCCGTGTGGTACATAATCACCAACCTGAAAAACCATAAGTTCGGGCACTGTTGCAACCAATGTTTGCTACTAACTACTTGAAGGACAATACTATTCATGACTATAACAAACTAAGAGGTATTTAACTAAACTATTTAATCGTAAAGAAAAATTAAGGATCACTTGAAGAATTTCCTTCTCAGGTTATTATATCTAAAGGTTAACTATCCTAACACTAACCTAACCTAACTGCATCCCCTGCCACCCATGTGTCTTGCATTAAATTTTCAGTTTTCTCACATAACCTAAAGTCTATGGAGCAACAAGTATGGTACATTTGGTGTGATGTTAATTTTACTGGTGTGGTGTTATAACAACTCATACCTGTACTAATTAGATGTAGTTTGACATATTCAGATTATTTCCTTCCTTTTAAAGTTATATAGAGGTTTGTCATCATGTTCAGAGAAATGTAAAGATAACTAACAAATGAGTCTATACCACATTCTTATTAATAAACCATAATGACTACAAAATCAGGAGCAACACCGCTATAATGTCCGGTAGTGGTCATTAACTTGCTGAACCTGTCACTCAAAAGCAATACAATGTATTCAAAATTTGATCACATTAATAATCTATACAGTACAGTATACTTACTTTTACATGTACAAAGAGTGTCGCAATGCCCAGTGGTTGCCCAGCCTCGTTTCGCAGTGTTATGTGTTTATATCCAGGTCTAAGGCCAACTATGGGAAGAACGCGGTTACCCAAACTACCTCTGCCACCTTCCTCATACGCTACTATTCTTATGGTGGCTAGTTCTGGCAATACAACCTGGAAATTAACACGTCATTAACATTTCTCTCCCTCTCCTAGTACAGAGTTGGTTGCTATGGTGAACAAATATATTACATTATATATGTATGTCAGAATATATAAATCCTATTTTGGATAATTCAGTTATAATGTAGTAGAGTATTAAAAATATTCTGTCTACTGGTTCAAATAACATTGTACATTACATGGTCATTGTTATTACCATCTGTTTTTCCCTTAGATGAACATCAGTAAAAGTTCTTATTACACATACTGTTAAGTCCACTGCCTACATTCAGCCCTGAAGTCTATGGGTTTTCATCAATTATCATCATTATCAAAAATAAATTTATGAGTTAATAAAAAACCTTAGATAGCTCAATCTTTCTCATCTACTGAAAGGCCAATTTAGTCACATATTACATGAGATTATCCTCCATGTTAGTAGACAAATAAAAAAGAAATACATATACCTCTACCTAGCCATTCCTATTATTTCAGATAAAAAGAAAATATATACCTGTATATATGAATTTTGAAAATGCAATTAAATTTACCTTTTTGAAAACAAATGGTTCTTCATCCCAAACAGGATTTATGCAATTGTTAGGAACAGTTTTAGTTCTAAATCGCTTACGAACTGTGTCTGCCGGTAAACCGTACATCTCCACCTCAACATAACAACCAGCACGCTTGTCTGACAAAAACTGTCCAGATATAACCTGTAACGATACAAAGATAAACAATTGGGTCGTGAACATAATTATATCATCTAATATATAACATTATGAGCAACACTGTACTGGCCTCTGGTGTCTCATCCACCTGAAGTAGACTGAACTCCATACTGTACACAAAGTCAATGAAACTGAGATACAGTATTATAGTTTGCCTTTAAAAGACAAACTAGTTCAGTACCCACTTACACCTGGGTGGTGTGGGGAGTCTATATAAGTTCTTTGTCTTTAAATTCTGCCTGGCATTTTATGCACTTACACCATGACATCCAAAATGACCATTATGATATAAATGCATCTGATTATACATAATTTCTAAATGACACTAAACAACGTTATGAAATACTGTGTAAGTAAACGGATCCATGAACTCTACCCACAAATATCTGTTAGAACAATTTTATATTAAGGAAAGAAACCAATGCATTATTTTTTTAAAGTTCAAGCATATCATTAAGACTAGAGAGTTGCAGTCATCTAAGGTCAACAAATATAGCTGCAACAGCTGTAATTATTTACTTATAGGCTAAATAAATGTCACTTTAATAACACAATTTGATTATCTAGGAAAAGTAGTCTGTATAGCTTGCCCAATTGCTCATCTTGTTTATTCTTAATCATTACCATAACAAACATTATCTATGTCAAAGTTTTCCTTCACAACCACAAGTAGTAACTCCTCCACTAAGGATATACTAGTGCTGGAGTCTCTCCAGTCTCACAAGAACAAACCAAATGTTAGCAGCAACAAGATATGTGCTAAGTTTTTGTATTATTATTATTATTATTATTATTATTATTATTATTATTATTATTATTATTATTATTAGGTACAAGACCTTTCCTGTTAAATTTTATGGATTATAAGTAATTCACTGTACAGTATTACAGTAAAATTATTTCAGCTAGATATCATAACCAATTTAAACATTGTTTATACAGCATAGAGGACTTTAAAGATATGCATATCATCTTTCTACACATACCTTAACAGAAACTGTACCAGCAATAATACCATCTACTGTTGACTCAGCAAATGGATCAAACCGCCTGTCTGGTCTTCTCATAAAGTCAGGCTTCAGAAGATACCCCGATCTGTTATTGAACTCGAAGATTCCTAGATTCAACTGCATTGCAAGATCTGAAAACAAGATGTACACAATAAAAAAAAGGAAAAATTCTTATTCATTTGAAGACCTGTGTTATGTAGTGTTGTAAAGAAAAAACTTTAATAGTACTGTACTCAAAAGTGTTTCCAGTGATAGTAAACAGTACAGTAATTGTTATAAAAGAGCAGCAGTGGACCAACCTTTGTAGGTCACCCACAAAAACAATCAGTTGTGGGTACGGGTAAGGGTTGACAGGCAGTTGTGAATAAGGGTAAACACATACAGCAGTTATAGTTGTAGTTAAGGGTTGTGATAGGTAGTTGTGGGTAATGATTGACAGGCAATTGTGGGTATGAACTGACACTGTTCACCTAGAGGGGCTATTAAGTGAAACTCACCTCACAAAAAATGTCCAGGTGTATAAAACCTTAAACATGTATTTGACCTACAGTTGGTGGTACAGTACAGTAGTAAAGCGGGTGTCTCTCACAACCTTGTCCTGGGATCAATCCCTGGCTCAGGACACAGGTGAGAAGGGTCTTATCCAGCATGATACTAACAAACATTGCAGGTTTTCTCTGGGTACTGTACTCTGGTTTTTCCCCCTGTACTAACAAAGACCAACTGTCCAAATGGCTATAAAGTAGTATTTATTCTTCACTAAATTCATGGAGGTGAAAGCAAACTCACAGCAGTAGGTGGAGTCAAGAATTGTTAGGTTATACTGTACTGTATAATGTGACTTTCTGCACATGAGGGGAACTAGCTGGAGACACCTATGTCCTCAAAGTGACAGGATCAAAATCATCACCTCTTCTTTCAAGGTCACACATTCTTGGGAGTTCAAGCACTGTAATTCCATTTGGATTGATGAAGCACATATCCATACCCACCTGAATGTCTATTTTGCTTCATCTGAAAACTCATCTCCCAGACTGGCATACAAGATGGAGTGTTGGATTATGCAGTGGTATGATAACATGTCAGGTTGGTCTTCTTTCAAATGTCCAACCAGTCTCCTTCCATTTCTCTAACATGGATGGAGTTTCATCTATAGTGAGTGATACCACTGACCTCAGACCTATCTTCCTTTTTGTTAGCATCCCTTTAATGGCCTCATAGATATCCTCTCCCGTGTTCATGCTTCCAGGTTTGTCACAGCCAACAGGTCTTTACAAAATACCATCTTTGCTTCATCATAAAACCTAACAAATATCAGAAGATGGGCATTGTCAGTAGTATCTGTTGACTCTTCTACAGCCAGAGAAATGCATGGTGTATTTTGTTATGCCATCATCATGTTGTAAGACCAGATCTTCAGCTAATATTGCAGTCCTTCTCATTGTTGTAGAATACGACAATGGGATCTGTTTAATCTTCTCTTTGAGCTCATCTTTTTGTTTACCCTCAACAATGTTTTAATACCCTTTAACATTCATTCTTTGACCGTCTCTGCATAAAAAAATGGATTTGACAACAACTCTGGTAGATCTCTCATATTGTGATTTGAGCAAATTTATTTTGGTTGTTCTCGCCTTAGTGTTCTGAGGATACATCTTTTTAAAATAACTTTGTTTAGTTTCATGGTGGCATTTCATATTGTCACTTTTCACAACAGCAATGGATGCTGGGGTCTGCACCAAAGCTCCCCACGGTCCACTAATTGAGTGGCCCCGATATATAATAAAGCTGCAATAAATGTAAAGGAGATACAGTAATGACATTATGAAAGATTAAAATACTCATAAATACAGAACATCTTTCTTACCTAGTGTCTGGTAGTTGAGAGCCACTAACTGACAACCTGCATTCCAGAATTGATGAGGAAGGAAGTTGGAAGAGTCGACCCGAGTACCACGTGGATAGACACGTGATAACTGACGCTTGTTGTAGTTGACAAATTCCATGGGAGTCTCCTTCAACAAGTTACTAGACTGTGTTTCCACAAATGATGACATCTCATAACTCCTGTTTCGTTCTGAGGAAGAATATCCACGCCATTATTCATAACAAAGTGAGGAGCATATACTGTTCAAGATAAAATTATACGGTTTCTTTTGCATATATTTCATTGTTTTCCTTATAAAATTATTGAGTAAACTGTAGAATTTATATTTTTAAGTGAGAAATATAAGCACTAGAGACATCAATCTAGAAGTATAAACTGGCAGCAGGGTCACAAAGGAGTTTAGTAATGATTTAATTATTTGGGAAACACATATACTGTAATTTATATATACAACTTATTATCATTTATCTGACCTGGTTTGCCCCAGATATAGATAAGTCAATCTGAAGTAATTATCGCAAAGACTTAAACATTTAGGCACCATAATTATGTGATATTGTTGACCCTATATGTACTGGATGAAACTAAGTCAGGAGAATGAGCACTCACTATCTACTTAAAACAAAAGGCTTTAAGAATAAATAAAAGGAGTTCCTGGTTCACTACATTCATAAAGAGAATATTTATCTTATATCTGTGAGGTGAACTATTGTGACTGTAGCCATTAAATCACACATAAGTTAGAGAACTTATTGTTTGGTGGTGTAAATGCACAGGTTAAATATATATACTGTATGTATATATATATATATATATATATATATATATATATATATATATATATATATATATATATATATATATATATATATATATATATATATATATATATATATATATATATATATATATATACAGTATATATATATACTGTATATACTTTTATTTTCTATAATTTTCCACATACATTATTGCATGAGAGTAAATAAGGAGAAGCTAGACAAAGAGGATGCTGGCCGAGTGACTGTGTACAGTACATGGTGGAGAAGAGTCTACAGGGTACTTGTTTTCAGTGAGTTTGAGGAGTAAGTTATATGGTGAGTGTATGAGAATGACAACGCACTGAAGACTTAATAACATTACGAGTGTTGGAGAAAGAAGTTAGTGAATTAAGTAAGCATATCGATAATAATAATAATAAAAAGGAGAGAGAGAGAGAGAGAGCATTATTTTAGCATATTTTCATTATTACAAAAAAAAAAGAGATAATTTTTTGGTAACCAGAGTTTTCATTCATAAATCAAAGTACAGGAGATTTTTTTATATACGTAACTTAAAGATTTTGTAAGTTGAAACTGTAAATCAGGGACCAAACTAAAATCAAATTAACTTTGGAGCTATGCCCCGCCCCGAGGGTGACTGAGAATTAACGTGATTGGCTGCTGGAAACGATCACAACTATTGGTCACTAGTCTGACTCCCTGATGAAGCAAAACGTTGCTCATCACTTATTAATATATTCAATGTGGTAATTTTCTCCTCCTCACTTTCACACAGTATTGGTGTGTGAGAATATGTAGAATGAAAAGAACAAAATTATTAAATAATGAAGAGCTGTTGCCTGGCCAAAAGACAGAAATCACTTTAACCTAACCAATCAGGCACTGTGGGGGGCATAGTTGCTGAGTTAATTTGATTATAGTATATACCAGTATACAGTATACAGTTTACTGTATACTGTATATATACGGTATGTAAATATACCATATCACTTGTTTGTCATAAAAGGTATGGACAGAAACAGAAAAAAAATCATCCAATGGAAGTCGTGTGTGTGTGTGTGTGTGTGTGTGTGTGTGTGCATGTGTGTGTGCCTGTGTGTGTGTGTATGATTATACAATGTTAAACATGAATTACTCAACATTTATAAAAGTTATAATAATATAAGTACGGTAAAGACCATTTAATTCACCTCACATCGTTTAAAAGATATCAGTCATAAGACTTTAGTTGATGCCAAAGGTCTCTTTAGCAAAGCTATGTGTGAATATTACCCACTTCTTGAAGAATTATTACTGTATGACTGTAAAAAAATAATCAGAGGTAAGAAGAGAGGAATACCATTTTCCACAAAATCAAAAAATATTCTTTCATTACAAAGAATTCTTCAGAGAGGCTAAAATTCCAATTGAGTTAAGTTGCACTTTATTTGAATGATGTTAGAATCATAAGCAAAACATATTCATTCATAAAATATTTTAACTATGGTCATCTACTGTTAACTCACTTTCTGCGGCCTCAAATGAATGGAAGTGCACAGGTTGTACATAGTTGACTAGAGCCGATATCTCTGCTCCTGCCTCCTCCTCAGCATCAGCGGCGCAGTGGCCCTGAGGATGAAAAACCCTCAGTGTGTACTGAAAGCAGGTGGGATATACAGGACATCTGGTATATATGTACATATCAGCTGTACACTGTGATAAAGGCTTGACTGAAAAATCTAGACCTGTGGAGAGAATCTATGGGACAAAAATGTAAATAAATAAATAAATAAATAAACAAATAAAATAAGGGATACTGTATACAGTAATTTTTAAATGACCTCACTGCTGCTTATATGGATATTTTCAATTTACTGTAAAAAACCCATAAATATCAATGTTTGTTGTTACCTGTTATCATGAGACTTCTTTCCCTAACTAATAATTGCACAGGTAGCTGGAATCACCAAATATCACAATAGAAAACTGAAATACGCATTATCATTCACTGTCACTTTGAATCTTACGACACATTGTGGACTTTCAAATTCTTTAAACAGACATTACTGTACTAAACCTATATAAAAAAAGTCTAAGGAAAGGAAAACCACATGAATAAATTTTATCAAACCAAAAAGTAAATAAAGAACCAGATGAGAGACGCTGCTGGTGAGCTGTTATCAGATAATCAGGGATAACCCACGCAAGTGTGGAAAATGGCTGTACAATTCTTTTGCTTGCTAGCAATATTATTACCACTAAAATATTAATTTGAACCACTTACAGGACTTGATATATCTCGTTCATGAATTTCCTCTGGTGTGAGTGGGAGTTCCTCCTCGTCAGAACTTGAACTTACAACGTCCTCAGGTCCTCCATCAGGTATTTCTCCTGTTAAAGGAATGCACCCAAAATTAGCCACCAGTGTTTTGTAAAATAAAGTAGAGAGCATACACAAAAAATTATACAACTTAATTAACAATATATTCAAGAAGTTTCTTGAATGCATCAATTGGAGTGACGCAGTATAAGGACAAGCCAATAAAATGCACATTCCACTGCTAAACATTTCAGGTGTTCCATAATCACTTTCCTCTAGTTAGCCAACAATAATTTCCCACCAAAATGGCCAAGTCCTTAATTGTTACAATTTTACTTAATTCCACTTAGAAATAATGTGACATATTAATGATTACTATATGACAAGCAGGTCTTGAAATGGCAGAGTACAGTAACCGACACCATTAAAAATAATAATTTCCCGGTAAAATAATGCAATTTCAACAGTCTCTTTTACTGTATACATAATTCCAACTGCCAAAAGAAGGATTTATCCTGAAATCACAAATTATGGCCAAGTCCAGAACTAGTCAGCTTGAGTATAATTATGCACCCACTAAGACTTCAGTCTAGAACCCAGGAGTCCATGAAATTACAGTAATGACTAGGATTAATTCAAATACTGTACTTATACCTACAAGCTCTCTCCAAAAGCAACAATAGACCTAAATAAGAGTAATTAGTAGCCCAGGTTTTATCCCTCTTGGAAGGAGAAAGAGGTATATTGGTACAAGTATTGACATAAAAAAAAAAAAAAAATAAATAAAAAAACAGTACGCTGCCTGTTCTCTGGGATGCCCTTACAGGTCTTCCAGGCTTGAACCTCATCCCTTCCTGGGAGACCTCCAAGCCACCTAGTTCCAGGCTTGGCCATAAGATTTCAGGAGAAATCACATTATTTTTGGTGTTCATTTTGAAGTTCACTGGATCCTTCCATAATGATACTTTTTGGAACAAGCTTGCACACGTAGGTTTCAAATTACCCCTTTATAGAGGTACAGTTAACTTTGGGGAGATTTATTATGTACTTAAATTAGTTCAAACCACTAATACCAAAGTGTTCAGGGTCCTATTGACGGCTAAATTAGCATTCATACTCAAGCCACCTAATGAAGGACAGATGGCCAAAATTTTTTGGTCACCAACAGCTACAAGGAGCATCTTATAGGTAATACATTTTTAACTTAAGGAACAATCTTGTCTTGTGTTTCAACATAAAAATTTATCACTTCCATAATAGTAACACCATCAACAGTGGTCATATCAGAATATGAACTTCCCTTCCTTAATAAACCCCTCCAAGTCTGTCACGGAACAAGAATACAAAATAATAATACACGTATTAATATTGATGAGCAGAATTTATGGAGATTCCAGAGTTGCAGGAAATGTTCATATAATATTTTCATATCTTTATGCTAGTCCATCCTGGCTGAAGCATCACCAACCAAACTACATTTCTGTTAGACACTATTTATTATAAAACAATTCCAAACTTGTTAGTAATTTTCATTATGTTGTGTAATTTGCTTCCTGATCCACTTCCTTCATCATTTTGCAGTTTATAATAGCAGTGATTGGTAATTTCTGTTTTAAGCCTTAAGTGATATTGAGTATTGTACTGTTATGGGTAATGCAAGATTTCAGACATGACCCACAAGTTTCTTGGTTGGCCATACTGCTTCAAAGGTCTGTGTATTTATTAAGTCACTGGTTAAAGAGTTTCAAGAGTCCCACCTCACAGTTGTAACCCCTGAAGCCATAAGTAAAAAGTCACAAGTTCAGTTGATCACACATTCTGGTACAATATCACATCTCACACCAACGACTGAGACCTTCCCATTTGTTGGCAATTTTAAGACATACCTTGGTGAGATTCATCATCTATTATCTCATTTCACTGACTTTGCCAAGTGTCCAGTAGCTTGGTGTTGTGTTACTCAGACACTTGCCAACCTCCCAGGTCTTTTATGCTGACTAGTAAACAGCTCAGAATTATCTACTGTACTAGAAATTTGCAAGACATAAATAATAATAATAATCTTTTTTAATTCTTCCATTTGGGACTAGTGCTGGTTTTGTCTCCAGCTTCAGGATACCAATTTTCAAATACTTTATCTACAATTAGTATTTAGGTCATACCAAGACTGGACATGGCTGCATCTCCATGACCTGTCCAGCTGATACCGATCTTTAATAACAATGGGAGTTCATCGGTCAACGACATGTACTTTTTTCACTTGAACTCAGATTAACCATACAAGATCTTGATCACAAATCCTATCCCCAAATTTGAAGTCTTCAATATGATTTCGGGAATGTGATTTCTACAATGGAAGTTCTACCTGCCTTAATCAAATAAGGATGGGTGGTAGGCATCTCTCACCTAACATCAAACTCTGTGGTCATCTATGTAACTGGGGATTTTTCATTAAAATTAAATAATCAAAGCCTTTTCACATGGACAGTCGTCAACTTTTATGTGGTCGAGTGAGAAAGTTTCAGCTGGGGTTGCCAGATATAGGATATAATTCTCATACAGTGAGGGTGGCAGTCTAGTTTAGATTTCAGTCTCTTATCATGTGTTACATTTAAACATTTACAATACAAACCCCAACCATATTTTTTTAATACAGTACCTGTGCTGTGTAAGGTATTTATTATGAATGAATTTCAAATTTTCTGTTTACTGTACTGTGAGCTGACTGAGATACAACTTGACCAGCAAGGGGGCGGGAGGGGGGGGGGGGTAAGTAGTGATAAATCCGGCTTCCACAATCACCTAAGGTGGAGAGTAAAGTCCACTGTTTAGATCAGTACAGTAGTTGCTAGTTAATAATTTTCAATCATAAGAGATTTTATTTTCATAAATGGTTATGATAACAATAGATAATATTTCTAAATAATTTCATATAAATTTCACAAACAAGAATGTACATTAAATCAGATAAAAACAGGAAGCAGGACCAGATCAAACATGTAAGAGCCAAACTGTGACTGTCCACTCCTCCCCTTCTGAGGTTATCAAACAAACACAAACCCAAAATTAACCTAACCTCATTTTCAGCTTGAATTGGGGTACAATTTCCACCCTTATCAATTTAAAATGGCTCATCTGTGACCAAACCTAATTTAACTAAGCTAATCCTAGACCTCCAGAAGTCCTGAATGGTTTAAAATTATTTGAAAATTATATATGTACTCTAAGAGCATCAAGTCGTCAAAGAATAATGAATGGAAGATTTACCATGCAAATTGACCTCCTAAACACACCTGGTCATCTATCGAGCCCCAAACAAACAGTTAGGTAATGATTTTCAAGATGACATAAGCTGAATCACATCAAGCTTGATGGTCAGGAGTGTGAAGCCCAATCCTAACAATACCAAAACATCACAATTGAAAGTGAATTGAGGTACAATGCCAAAGAGATCTTGGAATGAGGTGTAATACCAAAGCCAGCTGTCCAGCATACAGATTAGTCTGGACTTACAAAGATTGGAAAATATATTAAAAATAAGACCTAATGGAAGAGCCAATTCAAAAAGTCCTCCATTAGTATCTTTTGGTGAGGAACAGAATTAAAAATGGTGGACTGATCTGAAACCAAGATGGTGGACAGTAACCTTGGCAATTATCAGGTGTTGAGTGGTTGAACTTGGTTCTTATTGGACCTACTGTTCCTAATGGATTAAAACATCGATCTTGGCAACATTAAAGTCAAATATATGAATATCAGAAACTCTAAAACTAGCAGCTCTTTATTATGGGAACTGCCAGGGTGAAAGTGATAGCCATTTTCTTCTTTAATTCTCAACACTTGCTTACAGTGACCGATCATCAGTAGTTTCTGAGTAATACAAATATCAAATCATTAACCTTACACCACATGAATCAATACTGGACAACCCCCAAACACCTGTGATACAGAGAAAACAACAACAGAATATAAATAAGTGGAAACCACAAATATCCTCCAAGTGAAAATTTCAATTAACAATTCTATAATTTTTTTAAGGAAACATCACATGCCAGAGTACAAATGGATTTTTTTTTTCAAAACATGAAGTTTGGTAAATTAATTTTGTGGCATGCATAGTCATTATTATAAATCAACTAAGTAATGTTTCATCCTCTTGTTCACTATTATTTTCTTGTACAGAACTCTGGAAACGAAGATATAAAGGCACAGGTATGCACATACATTTACATATAAGTATGTAACTTCTCCCACACACAGAAGGATAACTAATTACATAATGATATATATCTTGTGCAACTGTGTTCAGCATTTATATTATGATTCACCTTAAGAAATTCCCATATCACTCCTGATCTTTGGTAGCTAAATAATTAATAAAAAAATTTTAGTTAATCTTACTAAAAATCTACTAAATATACAGTGTACTTTATTCCTGCTAACTAATTATTTATGCATATTATGTCATCAATTGAGACTAAAACCAAATAACAAACAATAAAACTTAAAAAATTCCAAGTTACCAAAGTTCTGGGCTAATAAGGATCACAGGTTGTCAATGATCAGGAGTGACATACAGTGACGGGGGGAAGTTTCTGCCTCATGCTACGCCTCACATTAACATTACCAAGTATCTATATATATAAGAAGTAGCGATGCACAATACGGTGACAACGTGAATATATCCCGACTCAAAGCACATGAAGGCAACAAATAATGGAATAACACACAATACAGTATGCAAGAAAAACTTCCCAAAGATGTTACAACAGAATAATATCAAGAAATCAGCTAAAACAGAGTAACAGCAACATTCTAGGAGAAAAAGTTTAGTAATATATATAGGTAAGGGGGGTTAATGTAAATACTGGGGTACTCAATACACGTGAAACTTTAGGAATAAGCAGGTGCACGTATACTGACCAGAGAAATCTCGCACGTGGATTTATTTTTACCTCGTTTGTGATATCCGACGCTAAGCAACTCATAAATAACATTGTTTCTTAGATTAAAATTCAGAACCTGCTTGTCCCATAGCTCATGGAGTTGAACTTGATAGTGCTAGATACTATTAAAAGAAACAAAATGCCTGCTACCTCAAAAACAACACCAATATGGCTGTCTTGGTAAAAGAACACATTTCCATCTATTGCCAGTTTGTAACCATGTAAACATAATGGTCGGTGTTTCTTATCTCCAACATAAATTTCAAAAGATGATCAAATTATATCAAAATACATTTTCAGTAGAAATAAATCGGTCTCTTTACTCATACTGTACATTTATTTATTTATCTACACCTGTAATTCATCTGCACTAACATCACTCCACAACCCTTTTATTATACTGAATATAATAGTTACCTAACTAAAAAATGGTGCACTAGTGTTCGCTTTGTTTAACAGAAGAACTATTAGATTCTGTACTTTATATTCTTTAATGAAAATCAGATTCTGATTATAAGTTGATGTCTGGCAGTAAAGGTGAAAGAGTCAAACAAAATGTAATGTACAGTACATGTTTTGAAACATTAGTACAGTACACCACATAACTGAAGCCGGTCTTCATAATAAGAGCAAACTCCTCATATGGTTTAATCTGATATGTCCTCATTATACGACTAACTCGGTGGTGCCTTTAGTGCCCAGACAAAGGCAACATGTGACACAATCAACTTCACTTTGTGAACGTTATTTTACTCCTTAAGGATTAACCTCTAGAATATATTCATTTTGCGTAATTATTATTTGCCAACTTCACCCACAAGACGATGCTCAACTATGACCCACAAGTGACCGACTCACATATGGTACACGGGAGTGGTGTGGTGCCAAGCGAGCCTCAGATTCCAAAATGATTCCATAACTTTCATTTTAGGTTCATCATACTGTATATAAAACTAACCCTGATCATTTTCCACATTTCAAAAACATTTCATTCTTTACCTTACAAAGCTTGGATAATATTTACCAGTACAGCTTTTACAACTTTAAGACAAAACTAAGCTTAATAGCACTATCATGCTCCCAACTCCATCATTGTGGCACATAAGGTAAGTAACACTACACATCACTGTGCAACTCTTACCTATCAGCCTGGCCACCAGGTGGGGAAAGGCTAGGTCGGAAATTACTATGATTAGCCAGATTAACCCAGATTATGATAAACAAAGTACAGAAGATTTGGGTGAACTAGAAAATAAAATTCAAAAGAATATTTCCTGAGTTGTTACTTGAATGACGTCCAGACTGACAAGAGGACAATCATTGCTATAATTGTTTCTCATAATATTTATATAAATTTAAATTTCATTCTTAAACAAGGATAAGCTAAAATATAAATATGGATTTTAAAACTGATATGAATATTAATGTTTCTTTTTGCCTTACCTAAAATAATTTCTCAGGGTCTATTGCCAACACAAGCAATATCTGGATTATCAAAATAACCCACGCTAAAAATTAGTGTGTACAGTATATACTAGTAATGGATAGATGTGATACTCATACTAAAATACACACTATTAAGTATCTTACTGCACTTACCATTAGCTACTTCATTCTCTTCTTCGGATGACTCTCTTGACCCTTCTTTCTCTAGCAGTGGCCTCGGGATCTCACCATTACCTTGCATCTCTGTCGGTCTCGATTCTCCGGTCTGGTTAAGCTCAACGTGGAACTGAGAGTCGCCTCCCGGTGTGTTTCTTTTGGAATGATGGTGGGTGCGATGTTTCTTCTTATTCTTAATTATAATTTTGCGTTTTAAACTTGATGGCGGTGGAAGTGGGTGGCCAGGCTCGAGCTGTTTGTAAGATAATTGGAACGGTTCAAAGACAATCTCTGCCATGTATGAGACTTAGGCTTAGTGGAAGTTTTATACCTAGGCCATGTGGTCGTGGTTTCAGCAGTATACTGTACAGTACAGTACTGTGATTTTAGGATCAAACCTTCATTTCTAACCATTTTACAATTAAGAAAGGTGAGGAATACTTTTATTTTTATTGTATAATGTTTATTATATATGGTACTCTATTGTGTAAAGTATTTCTTATGATGTTCTGAATTATTTTTCATTAATTCTAAAAAGATATTTCATTATAATTATTGTATCTTCAACTATCTTAAATACTGATGATGTATATTATAATTCTATTGGGTGTTTGAGATAAAAGTATATTATACTATGCATTCAATAATTCACAGGTCTCACAGCCCCTAGATACTGCATTAAAATCTTATCATAAGACATCCACATGGAACCAGTCTTACCAAGTAATTTTCAAGCGGACTGTCCAGCAGCATATCACCAAAAAATTCTCTACAGTACCCTGCAATTTTGGCCTGTTGTCGGGGGTTACAATGGTTCTCAAAAGATAAAATTACAGGCCACTCAGATGTTTTGAAGGCCGACTCTGCTATACCTTCAATCACTTCCTGCAAAAATAAAAATACATCCATTAGTCAGAAATAATTTATTCTATCATTAACAAAACTCCTCAACCATTTCAATAAGGGGATGCCACTTCTAATACAGTATTTTATTTGGCTAACGTCTGATTATTTTATTCAGGTTAGAGGCGACCCCATACACGAAGGGTTAAACTATTTATTATTACTCTAGCGCGTTTTTTCCCAGCTGAGAAAAGATGCCCCGCCCCCTCTTCAAGCGATAATTTAGATCATACGCAATTTTGCACATGAAAATCCCATAAGTGTTAAGATCCTGGTGTTAGAAATGTAAACACTGCCTTACTCAATAGTGTCCAATTTTCCTACAATAACAATGAAGTTAAACACAAACTTAGTGTTTACTTTTACCATGCCACTTAACACCCTTACAGACTGACACTGACCTTGGCACTGATTTCTGGCACCAGTGTGAATCCATGAACAATGACTGGTTCTTCCAACCTTCCATTCCAGAAGTCAAGCTCAACACAACGGCAGCCAGCCAGCAAACACTGCCTGTACATCTCCACTGAGGACTTGCCCGTGAACTGGTGGCCTGGAGATCAGAAGGCTGAGGTTAATGATGATCAGTGTAGGTGTCGAGAATTTATCATCTCGACCGCAATCACCGACTTGCCAGTTTGTTTAAAATGACCACCATGTCCTCTCCACACATTATCTAAATGAAACAAAGCTAAAATCATTAAACATAAGTGTAAATTATAAATAAATGCATTTATTGAACAAAGATATGTCAACGAGATGCAAACCTCAGTGTACAGTATTAACAATTAACGAGGAAACATGAGTGTATGAAAATGGCGTGTTGGCTCAACCGTTTATGTCACGACATCAAGGCACCGATGACAGACAAAAAAATTAAAATATAGCTAAAGCCTTATAAACACATGTGCGAGTAATTAAATAATACATACAGTAGTATCCTGAATAAAGATATTGAACTAGGGTGTATGTTTCAGTATGGTAACGTAAATTAAACTATTAACATCAATGTCACGTGAGAATAATCAGCCAATGAGAAGCTAGGTTTATCTTCTCATCCAATAAGAATGTTGCTTACTATGTAAAATTATTTTTATTCAGTAAAATCTTGCTGCAAATTATAAATATTTGTGCAAACCTTTGAATAAATGCAGATAATGAACGCTAATAGTTATTGGATAGTGAGAATCCAGTACAGAGTTTAGTAAATAATAAAATAAATAGAAGATGGGAAGTTAAACAGCGAATTCCAACCAATCAGAGCCAATATTGCGGCAAGACGTGTGCCTCCCGCCAATCAAGGTCGAAGGAGGTCAGTCAAGCTTAGACCACGTGTCCCCGAGTGTGTATCCCGGGAACAGTGTGATCACCTCACCTTAATTCAACACATCATGGAGACATAGACCAATTCATTGATCCTTTTGGGCTTACACTAAACTCACGTCATGATCCATAAATCAATTTCCTGTACATTACTAAACTCTAACATACTGTAATCATTTGGTTAGTGCATTGCTTATCAAAACCAACTTTCTTACTGCTTATATCTCTTACTCTTTTCTGTACATTATCTCTGTCCTATTCTTTTCTATTCATTCTCGGTGGAGGGTAAGTTTGTACATATCAGTGTTTATGTTTGATTAAGCAATATGGATATGACCACCATTGTTCCATCTATTCAATGACAACTGTAGCCTAAAGAAGCCAACAAACATAAAATAAGGTGAGTAACTAAATCACAATTGGAATACAGTTCAATACTTAATATACCAATACTATAGAATAATGTCATAATTCCCTGGTGTCACTTTCCAGTGCCTTCAATTTTAACTGTTTAAGTCAGTAGATCTGAAGATAGTGTACTGAACTATTGTTAAATTATCCACAGTAGGAGACCAAGGCTGTGAACATGCAATAAACTGGGAGACTTTAAGGGTGAAGGCAGTAGCACTGTATGGGGTGATGAGTTACGAACACTTATCTATGACTTTTTATAAATTAGCATATTATACTTACAGCCTGACATGGTACATTATACAATAAATCCCTACAATGATGCAGTAACAGCTGGTGAAAGACGATTTATTCAATAATGAGCTGAGGTTAACCAACATTCAGTTTAATTATACATCACAAGCCTTACATTAACAAGAGCTGCTGGAGAACAGGCAAGGCCCTTTACTCAGACATTATTAACTAACAAACACTATATCACAGTCTTCAATTGTACTTCTACAGTTCACAGCATATAGGATGAAATTTCAAACTTATACAGACACCCATCAGTTGTAGAACATACCTGTGAGGTAAGTGTTGTGAGAAGAATTTATGAAGTAGTGACCCAGAGGTTGGTCCATGTCCTCATACTGGTCCAATTTCTCCATGGACATGACTGTGTTCTCCTTAGACATCAAATACTTAAGGAACCCCTCGCAGCTTAACACATCTGGGTACAAATGGAATGCTTTAGTTACAATGGGAAGTATATTAACATGTAAGGAGACAACAAAACACAGAGAAAGGCAGGACAGGGATAAAAGTGTCCTACATATTTCTCATCATTTCTTCACTGGACTTATATTCTATGCACTAAAGCAAACTTATTGACTTCATCAAGATTTTGTAACAAACAACAATTAATACGACTGTGGAACTAAACAAATTACCAAATCAAATACTGTACATTGTTCTCTCTCTACAAAAAAAAAAAAAAAAATTAGCACATGATCTAAAATAAAGTTTTATATTATTGAATCCACTGGAGCTTGTCACTTGCTCTGAGTATGGTACAGCACACACCTTCACCTCACCTCTTCTGACAGTACTTGCTCCTCCTCTCTCTGTATTTTTTTTTTTTTTACAGAACTTATTCCGTCTCCCAAACTTACTCTTTGTAATGTTTTCCTTGTGAGGTTCGTAGTCTCTGATGACTTCCACGGCCTTAGGAGCATCAGCATAGGGATAGAGGATCTCATTCAGGCGTGGATCTCTTTGTTCCTCGTTCAGAAATGTGACCAACTGTTCCACGGTCATACCTCGTAGCTTGGTCTTCTTGTTCGCGCTGTATGACTGGTCCGTCCTGAAGTATAATGATCGCAGTGTATTTACTATACGTATACTTTGGAAAAAAATTTTATACCTGTACAGTAGAACCTCTCGATTTGGTGTAGCTTTGGGACTGAGAATGGGTTGAACTTGTGAACTTTGTGAGTTACGGAGGGATAAACTTGTGAACTTTGTGAGTTACGGAGGGATAAACTTGTGAACTTAGTGAGTTACTTTGGGATGAATTTGTGAACTTATGAGATTTACAACACACAACATCACAGTAATACTCACAAGGAGCAGAACACCTTTTCCACCTCCAGTCTATTGGTCAGCATGTGATAGAATGTAAGGAAGGTCTCCCAGGTAATTTTGTCCAGTCCTACAGTGTCAGTCTGAAACAAGAAAATAAAATAACTATTAATCAAATGACTGCCATTGATTACAGATTATGTTTATTCAAGCAAAATACTGTAATACTGTATTTATTAACTAGTCATTTATTATCTCCATGTAAGCAAAGTTTTAGAATGTGTTTTCAATTTTTTTTTCTACAGTGTTTTATGATTAGTAAATACTACAGTATGTAAATAAAAGAGTATGATCATTTATTACTGCCACATCGACGTAGAGTATGTCATGTTGATAAGTTTTACAGGAATAAGCGTAAAAATCAAATGTAATTCAGCTGCTATTTAAACAATGTCTCTAGTTCACTTTACTTAACCTGTGATCCTCTAGTGAACCCTCGATAGAACGGACTCCTCTCTCCATATAGTAATCCATTAGATGAGGAGTTTCATATCTAGCGGACCCTTGTTATAACGGATTTTCATATCTATATAGTACTGTACAGTTCGTTAGATGGAGATTTCACATCCAATGGACCCTCGATATAACGGACTTTCCTATCTAAATAGTCCATTAAACAGAATTTTCACTGTAATTTACATTCTCTTACATATTTGTTCATTGTTACATTTTTCAAAAGCATCCAGAGAGAAAGAGACGTGACCAGGAGCACTTTACATCTTCCTCCAAGCATCAACAATATTTTAAAATCTACCAGAGAAAATATTCTAGTCTTAAAATAATATCCAGTCTCAGTATCCGGAAAATTCAGAGAAAGAAATTGTATCCTGGATTTGTAGTTCTTTCAGACAGTTTTATACAATATAAATATTAAGCTGCAGACAAGGTTTTGACTTTTTAGCCTTCATAAGGGACAACAGTAACCTTGGTGTGTGTGTGTAGCTTTATAAAAAATAACCTTTAACTTACACTTCTTAATTATAATAGATAAATGTTGACAATAAGACCAAAATGACAAAAATGAGTGCGAACATTTGTATGAAGATTTTAAAAGGTAAACACAAGCTTCAAAAAAGTATCTTTAAAATTTTGTTTAATAAGAACATAAGAACATAAGAACATAAGGAGTCTGCAATAGGCCGGTTGGCCTGAGCATGGCAGCTCCTGTCAAGAGTTACTACCACTCTCTATCATCCATGAATCTATCAAGCCTCCTTTTGAAACTTTCCAGAGTTCCCGCACTTACTACTAAGTTGCTAAGCTTGTTCCACTCGTCCACCACCCTATTTGTGAACCAGTTTCTTCCTATCTCCCTCCTAAACCTAAACTTATCCAACTTGAATCCGTTGCTCCGAGTCCTATCCTGCTCAGATATTATAAGAACTTTATCTATATCCCCTTTATTGATTCCTTTCACCCACTTAAATACTTCTATTATATCTACCCGCACTCTTCGTCTTTCTAGGAAATGCAAGTTAAGTTTCTTTAACCTATCCTGATATGGAAGGTTTCTAAGTCCCGAAATCATTTTCGTCATTCTTCGCTGCACCGACTCTAGTGAATTTATATCCATTCTATAATAAGGGCACCAGAACTGAACCGCATAATCGAGGTGCGGCCTGACTAGTGCAAGATATAGTTGCAATAAGACCTCTGCACTCTTGTTACTTACACTTCTAGATATAAAACCCAATACTCTGTTTGCCTTATTTCGAACATTAACGCACTGTTTTCTAGGCCGTAGGTCCGGGCTTACAAGTACCCCTAGGTCTCTTTCACAAGTCGACTTCTCTAGGTTGATGTTGTTAAGGCTGTATACATTATATCGTAATTCGTAAATATTTTACACAAATATTAACCAGATAGTCATCGGGAGTATTTTCATAGCGTTAAATGTGTAGCCAATGAGAGGACATACAAACACACACAGCATCATACCCAAACTCTCTTAAAAAAGCTCCTGACAGTCCAGGAGAAACGTAGTCTTCTTTCAACTTGTTTCGTCCAGTGAGAAAACTCTCCAGAAGAAGTTAAGAGCGAGGTTCTGAAATCTCCACAGGTGATAACTTAGTTTGTAACGTCTTCCTTCCTCTGGCCCACGTTAACACTGGACCCTATAGTGTGTGTGTGTACCCTGGAGACCCTGCCATACCATACACCATCAACCTTTACACAATTGGCTGGCTAAGAATATGATGTAAAAATATAATAGAGGGTAAAAATTATAAGGAGAATGACTTAATGTGGAAGTATGATGATGGTAAAATTATAATGATGGATGTTCTTATAATTTCAATGGAAATGAATATAGTAGGGGAGTTAATTAATTTTGAGAGTATCATCCATATGGTGATGAGGATGATGGTGGGATAATGAATTAGTGTGATGATGAAGAAGGTACGATGACTTAACCTCTTCGTGGGGAATACTAACACAAATGTTTATACATAATTTTAACAATAACACTTACAAATCCCGGACAATAACATCACACCACACATTTCAACAACTATAACAACAACAATCTACACATCTTAACACCCCTCCACACACACACACCCACACACACACTTCAACAACACCCCCCCCACACACACACCCACACACACACACAACAACACACCCCCCCCCACACACACACCCACACATCCCCCCCACACACACACACACACTTCAACAACACCCCCACACACACACACACCCCAACAACACCCACACACACACACACACACACACACTTCAACAACACCCACACACACACTTCCAACAACACCCCCCACACACACACACACACACACTTCAACACCACACACACACACACACACACACCCCAACAACACCCACACACACACACACACTCTGAACAACACCCCCACACACACACACACACACTTCAACAACAACCCCACACACACACACTTCAACAACACACACACACAACACACACACACACACACACTTCAACACACACACACTTCCAACAACACACACACACACCCCACACACACACACCAACAACACCCACACACACACACACACACACTTCAACACCCACACACACACATTCTCCAACAACCCCCCCACACACACACTTCAACAACACCCCCCCACACACACACACACCTCCAACACCCCCACACACACACACTTCCAACAACACCCCACACCCACACACACTCAACAACAACAACACCCCACACAAACACACACACTTCAATCAACACCCCCCCACACACACACACACTCATCAACACCCCCCACACCCACACACCTCAACAACACCCCACACACACACACACACACACACACACATTTCATCACGACTTCCCCACACACAGACTACACACACACACACAGGCACATCACAACACCCCCACACACACACACTTCAACAACACCCACACACCCACACACTTCAACAACACACAGATGCTGGGAAGGGGAGAGAGAGGGAGGGGAGTGCGTTACAGCGGGCGGAGAGGAGAGAAGGAAGATAAGGGAGCGGTAAAGTTATATTGGGCAGCACCAGCGTGTCACCACAATACAGCCACCACTTGTTATCAGGAGCAACTGGCAGCACCTGGACCCACTATCAGGTAAACTAGTGGTGGTGGTGGCTTCAACAAGTTGCTCGTTGAAAGCAGCAGCAGCCTCCCTCCCTCCTTCACCAGCAGTAAATTACTTGTGCAACCAATTACTTCACCAACTTTGGGGTATGAAAGTGACTCTATACACCTCGGTAAATTATAACGATATATAATTCGATAAATTCCCTATAACTTATGTCTTTAAAGCATTCCAATAATTTACTTATGAAAGTCATGAGTAAATATATATATATAACAAAACACAAAGCTAATATAAGTACAAAAATATAAACAAAACATCAAAGACAGCTATTCAAAGTCACTTAATATATAGCTCATAAAAAGAGAAATAATAAATTATGGTAAAAATATGAAACCCGTATTTAGCAACAAGATTATAATAATCATCAGTATTTATTTAAGCTTCATATAAAAAAGTATAATTTATTTATTATTTTGACGGTGGTAGATGAAACATGACCAGATATCTATTAAGGGTAATACATAATAGTTTACATGGTAGTTTAATATTGCGTGCTCCCCCCCGGCTTATTTCACCTGATGATTCATTAAAATCCCTAACACTTCCTGGAGGATAGGTTACGTTAAGTTAAGTTAGGTTAGTTTAAGTTGGGTTAGTTTAAGTTGGGTTAAATACATCTACTGTCACGCGTTAAATTCATCCACTGTCTCAGGTTAAATTAAGATAACCGACCGATTAAGCCTCCAAGCGCAACTGTGCCTTTAGCCAGGTAGGGATAACTATTTTGTTTTTATTACATGGGAGGCGTGGGGTGAGGAGGGAGGCGTGGGGTGAGGAGGGAGGCGGGGTGAGGAGGGAGGCGTAAGAGGAGGAGCAGGGGTGAGGAGGGAGGCGGGGGGTGAGGGAGGGAGGCGTGGGGGTGAGGAGGAGGCGTGGGGTGAGGAGGGAGGCGTGGGGTGAGGAAGGAGGTGGGGTGAGGAGGGAGGCGTGGGGTGAGGAGGGAGGCGTGGGGTGAGGAAGGAGAGAGAGGTGGGGTGAGGAAGGAGAGGCGGGTCGTGGGGTAAGGCAAGAGGCGTGGGTTGAAGTGAAGAGGCGTGTGAGTAGCGTGGCGGCCAACACACCCAGGGCGTGCAGGACAAGTGGTCTAGGGGGGAGGGGGGGAGAGGGGTGAGAAGGGGTGAAAAGGGGCTGGAGGGGCAAGAGGGGGCTGGGAGGGCTGAGTGGCATTAGCCTAATAGCCCGCCAGACGGCATCACGGACGCCCTGTTGACCACGGCTATAGCAAGGACATCTTCTACCCTGCTGACCACACACACACACACACACACACACACACACACACACACACACACACACACACACACACACACACACACACACACACACACACACACTCTGTTCCAGTTTCCAGGAAGAACAACAACAGCAGCACCTCTCACACTGTTCTAACTATACCTGGAAAAGTGACATTATTTATCACACTCCGTTACAATTTCCAAGTACCCAAGTGTAA